GGTAAAGGTTAGAGCCCTGAAGTTTAGATTGGTAAAAGCTTCACAGATGATTTGATAGATAACAGCACTTTCAGAATCACTGTGATAAACAGTTAAAAAAATAAAAAACCACCAAGTGCAAAGAAGTTCCTGAGAAAAACCACTGTGAGAAACAGTTAAAAACCACTGAGTGAAAACCAGTTTCTGTGATTTCACATATGAAGTCTTCACCTTTTCTCTAGTTGACATGCAGGATGGAACTAATGTTGATCTTGGTCTCATCCACTGATGCTGGACAAGGGAAGAAATTCCAAGGGCAGCTGCTGGTGCCAAAAGTGTGGGTGAGTGAAGTTGAATGTCAAAGAAAAGCCCCCAGGGAGTGGCTAGAACGAGTTCTGAGGCAGCACAGCAAACCGCATGGATTTTTCTTGGAAAGATATTCTTTTTCTTTAATTACCTAAACGTTTTACCTGAGTTGCATATGTGAATAGCATATGTGATAATAAAAATGGAAACTGGCTGGGTGCAGTGGACCATACCTGTAATCCCAGCAGTTTGGAAGGCTGAAGCAGGAGGATCTCGAGTTCAAAGCCAGCCTCAACAAAATCAGGGCACTAAGTAACTCAGTGAGACCCTGTTTCTAAATAAAATACAAAATAGGAGTAGGGATGTGGCTTAGTGGTCAAGTGCCCCTGGGCTTAATCCCTGGTTCCCTTGTGCTCCCCACCCAAAATCAAAACTTTCATAATAGCCCTACTGAAAAGGTACATATGTGTCTTCAGCAGTGATAGCTTGATCTAGTTTCTGTTTCTTTATTATTAATACCTCAAATTATGGCTACTTCCTATATTAAATATATTAATACGCATTGCCTAAACTCAAGACCTGCCATAATTTAAATTTTATACCTTTGAACATTTGTAAGTGTACTCATCAATTTGATGACTTGACATATGGATGCATCAATAAATTATCACCAAAATCAAGAGAACAAATATTTCTACCTCATTCCCCACCCTGCAGAGTTCCCTCATGTCCCTTGATAATTCATCCATCTCTCCACCTCCTGCTCTCTCTCTTTTGCTTTCCCTTTTTTTGGGGGGAGATAGAACCCAAAGACACTTTATCACTGAGCTAGATCCTTAGTCCTTTTTATTTTTTAGTTTGAGACAGGATTTTGCTGAGGCTGGCCTTCAACTTGTGATCCTCTGGATTCAGCCTCCTGAGTCACTGGGTTTACAGGTGTGCACCATGGCACCCCACCCTCCACCTCTTTCTCTAGGTAAATTCTGACCTGCTTCCTTGAACTACAGATTGGTTTGATTTTCTAGAACTGCATATAATATGCATTACTCAGATTTTATTTTGCTTTGGTCCAGCTTTCACAGCTTGAGATTCATCCAGGTTGCTGCATGTATAAACATTGTTTCTTTTTCTTGCTGAGAAATGTTCCATTATATAACTGAATATAACAATTTAGTTTATCCACTTACTGAAGGACATTTTAATTGTTTCCAATAATTGGTGATTACAAGTAAAATCTCTATAAAAATCCATGTAGAAGTCTTTGGACATAACTTTCATTTCCCTTAGGTAAAAATCTAGGAGATGATGCCAAGTCACGTGACAGGTGTGTGCCTAACTTTTTAAGTATTTCCAAAGTGGCTGTGCTCTTTTATCTGCCAATGAACAATGGCTAATAATTCATTTATTTCACTTATTGCCAACAGTTGGTACAGTCTTCTCAATCTTAGTTATTCTCATGGGTGTATATTGGTATCTCATTTTGTTTTTGTTTTGGATGACACAGCCCACTTTCAAATATTCTTGATTCAAAACTTCCATTCAAGGCAGATTGACTCACCCTGTGCTATAAGCACAATCAACTCATTGTCACTTCTGTGTCTTTACTCCAATATAAGCTGTCAACCTGGGGTACACTTTGATCCTGTTCGGCATATCCCACTATTTAATGAAGGACACTACAAAGGTTTTGCTGGAGCAACTACAAGTTAAAAAAAAATACCATGCACTTAAAAACAACAAATTTACAAAGTATACATTATATGAATTATCTATAAAACTTTGAAGAAATTCGATACCAATGGAATAGACATTTTAAAGCCTTTGTTAATCATGATGAGTTAGTACAACCATTAAATTCACCTAAAGGGCAAAATATCCTCACGGTAGTTATAATAGGCTTTATTTTAATTTCTGTTAACAGTGCATGCAAAGCTGCTTTTCAACTAGTCTTCATGATACTTTCTGATTTTTTTTTTGGTTTTATTGATATTTGTTCATTGTAATTAGGCAGATGGTATCTCTTGTTCTTAATTCCATTCTCAAAAATCCTGTGTATATGTGTGTGTTTGAGGATGGGAAGGGAGACTGTTTTCTCTGCGATTTTATTTGCTGGAGTTGGTCTTGTTAGGATTATCTTTACCTGGTATTTCTGTGCAGGATATTTTTAAAAATTATTTGTAAAAATGTGAAGTCTATTTTAGAAAAATTTGATAATATAAACCATAAATCCACTCATCTAAGCATATGAAATCACAAAGCACAGAAGGCAAATTGGCATCTAAACTTAGCAGGGATAACAGAACAAGACTCAAGAGGAAGACCAGAAGAGGGCGCCAGAGCCCGCCCTGTATTAACCACAGTCCTCATAACTACCTTATTACTTTTGTGGTCCTGAATGTGGTTTATCTCCATGAATGGTCCATGTGAACTTGAGAAGAATGTGCGTTGTGCTGTCATCGGATGAAGTGGTCCATAATTGCCAACTGCATGCGTTGACTGCATGCTGTGGAATTCAATTATGTCCTTATAGATTTTCTGCCTGCTACAGCTGCCCATTTCAGATATAGTGCGTTGAAGTCTCCAGCCATAATAGTGGGTTCACCTGTTCCTGCTCACAGTGTTGTCAGGTTTTGCCTTATGTATTTGGACACTGTTGTTAGGCACGCACATTGTAAAGATTGTTATGTCTTCTTGGAGAACTGATCCTTTTATCATTCCTTTATCCCTCATCATTTTCCTTGGTTTGAAGTCTGTTTTGACTAAAATTAATATCATGAGTACCCTATAATAATAAAATAATCCAAATACCTCTGCTATTTTTATATAAAAATACATATCCCCAGGAATCATCTTGTACAACCTGTTGTTAGATTTGTTCTTCAAGTACTGCTAAAGCCAAATTGCTGCTTCTCAATCTTTTCTGACATTGGAACTCAGAACGCTCCTTTGTTAATTATCCTGTACTTTTTAGGCTCTCTTGTGTGACTTCTTAGTCACGGACTTTCAGTTCTGCATGAGGGGGTTACAGAACACTGTCACATGCACTGTTTCATCTGATTTTCACCATGACCTTCTCAGCCTGATGTCAATTATGCCCCTTTTATACACATGGACATTGAGGTTAAGGTTGTTAATCGTGTGTTGGGCTCAAGGTCCCCGGCTAGGAATTAGCAGAACCTGGAAAAAGCAGACCAACTTCTATATGCGTACACCGTAGAGGCAGAACTTTTTCTTATATTTCTTTTAAATTCCAAAATGCTATGTAAATTACTTTGGCAATCAAATTATTAGATAGTTTAATTTAGGGTGCCACCTTTGGAGTTTATTGTGATAACCTCAGTAAATATTTTCTTTGCAATTAATAGTGTCCAGCATTGTTTTAATGGTAACTTAATAAACACGAGCAAACTATAATAACATTCCATAAGAAGGGGGCAGACAGATACCAAGACCACAAAAATTTCTAAGCATTGACAGCACATTCCTTAATTTAAGTTGGCATACTATTAAAAACACAATTTCAAGTTTTATCACAACTGTTCATCTGAAAAGTTACTTTCTGATGTCCAGGGAGATAAAATATCAACAATATCCTTTGTGGAAACTTGTTTTGTTGTTGTTGTTGCAGTCAGAAGTCAAGAAACAATCAAATAATGAAAGTAAAATATCTAGTGGTGGAGAAGAGCAGACCCTGAGTTGTCAGGAGGAGGCTGGACAAAAATAGACAAGATTGTCACTTCAACTCTGGCCAATGAGTCAAAGCAACCAGGAAGACTTCTGGGGAGGACACAAATAGTAGGAGAAGAGTTACTATTGAAGATGTTTACCTACTTACAGTTAAGAGGAAGGAAAGCAAGATGGGGCCTCAGAATCTGTACGGTAGTTATAATAGGCTTTATTTTATGCCTACACATCACTAAAATGGCACATATAAACCTCTCTGCTGTCCTTCCACCTGCAACTAGTTACACTGTGCGATCTGGAGCTCACTTGCTATTCTAACCTCAGGTGCCTGGCATAGGAGGATCTTAAATTAGGTGCTCAATTAAGTGCGTGTTGCTATTGGTGATGATTTGGGGTGAGGATGTAAATAGAGTTCAATGCAGGGCAGTTTTCGGGTGATAACTGTACTCCTAGCACCGTTAGCTTAAACGCCCTTGGGAGCCAAGTGCAGAGGTAGTGGGTTGTCGGATAGAAATGAATTAAGTGACAGACACTGCCATAGACACCTGACACACTTCGTGCCGTTTGGGTAGCAACACCATGATATCAATATCCCCATTTACATATGAGGGAACAGACTCCGACTGGAGTATTAACTTTCCTCACAGTTCAAGTTTGAAGGACGAGAACCAGGTTTGTAGAATTCCCAATCCTTTCTTTTCACTAGGATCAGTGCCACAGTCTACTATTGCCAGTCCAGGCTCTGAATACACAAAGGCAAGGAATTTCATGCAGCACGGGTTGAGCATTCCCGGCCCTCCTCTGCTCTGGGTGCCACAGAACGCCCTGGGAGAGGGATCTCCACTCCAAAGGCAAGGAGGGGCTCGGGTGCACAGAGGGATCCCAGATCCACCTGCGCTAAGTGCACCTACAGCCACGCCTTGGACCTCGCGTCCAGAGCAGCCAGGCGTTATTCCTGCAGCCGCGGGGCTACCTCGCCCCCTCCCTGGTCCCCGCCTCGCCTCCCCACGCCCTGCCCTCCAGCGTCTCACCCCAGGCGGCCGGCAGCGCCAGCAGCATCAGGACAGCCAGCAGGGCTCCTCCGCAGGGGACAGCGAGAGCGGGCGCTGGGGGCTCCACAGGCTCTGGGCTTCTTGGAAAAGAGGCCCCCATTCTCCCCAGGCAGATCTAGAAAGCAGATGAAATCTCCAAGGAAATGAAGAAAAGTGCCGCGGAGAGACATCAATTGTTGGGCTCCGCGCCAGGGTCTGGGGAAGGCAGAAGGGTTCCGGGACAAAAAGCTTTTGACCACAGCTTCCCCTTATTGGGTGAGGTCTTGTTTACTCCGCATTATTTTTGATGAGTTTCGCTACCTTAGGGACCCAGGTGCAAGATCAAAGTCTGATTCAGCTCCCTCTTGTATTTTACGTGTGAGGACCTGCGGGCAGTTCCAGACAAAGGCAGGGGTTTGTCGCAGCTTGGTCAGCATACACTCTTGCACGACTTTTCGCCTTTGCAAGAATCCGTGTGTGTGGGTGGGTCAGCTAGGGAAATGCCTACTCTCCGTGTTTCAAGGACATTCATAGTGCACAAATGAATATGAAGAATCGATTTATTATTGGTGAATTCAGATATGCCGTGCCATTGAAATTTTTTTTTAAGAGTGACTTAATCAGGTTTGCATTTTAAAACTATAATTCTGTATATGATATAGAGTCTAGATTAGAATAGGGCAAAAGTGAATGCAGAAGACCCGTAAGGAGGCTTTGCCATCATCCAAGTGAGACTTCGAGGGCGCTATCACTGGGTTGCTATGTGAACAACTAACCAAAATCTTGGAGATGAAATGAACGGGATTTGCTTATTTTACTTCCTTTATTAAAGATAGTGGCGAGAGAAAGAAAGAAAGGAATCGAGAGTCAGCCTCAGGATTAGAAATCAATGAGATTTGAAATGAAATAAGAAATATGGAAGGACAGAGAGTGCAGAGGGTTAGTGCAGAGAGTTAAGAATTCAAGGATGAGAGAAATGGGGGTATGTGTGGTAGTTTGAATAATGCCCTCCCCCCAGACGTTCACATTCCAAACCCCAGAACCTGTGTTACCTTACATGGCAAAGGGACTTTACAGATGTGATTAAATCAAGGATGTCGCAATGGGGAGATTATCCCTAATTGGCCTAGTGGGCTTGGTGTAATCACAGGGATCCTTATAAGAGGAAGGAGGCAGATCAGAGTGGGAGATTGATGATGAAAGCAGAGATCAGAGTACTCCTGTCACAGACTAAGGGAGGCCACGTTTAGAAGCTGAAAGAGGCAAGAAACATTCTCCCTTGGAGAAGCCACCAATCCTGGCAACACCTTGGTTTTAGTCCTGTAAGGCTCATCTGAATTTCGGACCTCTGGAATTGTAAAATAATAATTTTGTGCTGCTTTCAGCCATAGGTAATTGGTTACAGAAAAAAAAAAAAAAAAAAGGAAACTAATGGGAGAGGAGCATATCAAAGCTTGTTTTTTTTTAAATTTGGAAAGACTTGGGCTCTCGACTGATGGGGTTTAGTGGTTTAGCAAAGGCCAGGTGTGGGAATGTTCAGAAAAAGATTGGGAATGTAGATAATTTGTTGATTATGAGGCTGGGCTTTCAGAAAAGCACAAGAAGACTTTGAACAAGGAAAGGGATGGGAGATGGTCAAAATCACAGGAATTAATGAGACAGTCAAGAGGGAACATGTAGAAAAAATCAAAAAGAAGATCAGAATAGAAACGGAGGGATCTCTTCCACGCAGTGGTTCTTAACATCTTTGTGCATCCTGTATATGTCTTTGCTTGTCTGGTCAAGCTTATGGATCTCTTCTTAGAACTATTTTTTTAAAATACATAAGCAAAGTGCAAAGGATTACAGAGAAAGCTAATCATATTAAAATACAAGTCCAATCATGAACCTTGTCCTAAGTGCTCACAGGTCTCTGGCACCGAGAACAAGGACCCTGAATTTACCCATGAAGTGAAACATGGGTCAGTTGTCTCTAACACTGGACTTGGAATGAGTTGTTTGGAGACTGGAGTAATTCCTGAGGCAAGGAAACTAGAAGAGAGCTGAAAAGATATTGTAGCAGGGGCTGGGGATGTGGCTCAAGTGGTAGCGCGCTTGCCTGGCATGGGTTCGATCCTCAGCACCACATAAAAATAAAATAAAGATGTTGTGTACAAGTAAAAAATAAATATTAAAAAATTCTCTCTCTCTCAAAAAAAAACAAAAAAAGATATTGTAGCAGGTATTTCAGTAAATGCATTAGCTTGTATGTCCTCCATGCATAAGTGTGATGGATTTGTGATGGAGTAAAGAGGTTCAGGGTGGAAGACTGTTCTGTGGAAGACTGTTCTCTGCTAGGTGCAGCTTCCCTAATGGAAACATGGCCCAGAAAGGCTGTATCACTAGGAGGTGCATATAAACTTTCCAGAATACTGCCTCACTCATCAGTCCCTCTCTTCCAAATCTTACTTCCCCTTACTACTTAAGAAATAGTAATGTTCCAAAGCCTTAATTTCTTATTTTTCATCATGCTGTCCTCTAAGACTCTACTGTAAGAAATATCTGCTTTAATCATACCACTTTATCATACTTCCTTTTTATTGCAACCAATACCATTTGTTTTCAAGGATCTGTTGTTATCCTTTCAAGTTAGTTTTAATGGAAGAAGCCAGATCGTATTAAGCTATTGAAAAGGGAAAACTCAGCCTTACATCACATGCTAGTTTAATGACAACTCATTTCAAATGGGTCACTGTAATTCTGCCTGGTATTCCTATGGTTATTTAGACCATTTACTCTCCCATTCTCCTAAATGACTGTTTCATGTTTTTATTTTTATTTTAACATTGAATTATGATACTTCCTCCATCATTCTTAATCTCCATTTATGGGATTTCTTTCTTTTTTATCACTGAGAAAATGTAATCAAAGAATTTTCAGAATCTTCTATTTTCTGTCATTACTCCCAACAAATGCCTGTATTTGGCTTATAAAACTTTGTTATCACCTGTTAGTATACTTGTACCATTCGCTACCTCATCTGAGGACTTCTCCACTCTCATGCTAGGTTCAGTCTGCTTTTACTTGCTCAAGAAGTTCACTCCAGGAATCGTCTTTCTCCCTAGAATTGGCAACTCCTCCTTTCGATTGGACTTGGCATGATAATAGTTTCCCATGATAATTAGTCTCCCAATGCAGTGAGTGTAGCAACTGTTCAGTAATGTTCCTTTGGTGTGAAATGCTCTTTGCATAGAAGTCTACCTGTATAGCCATCTCCTCACTTCCTTGCGGTTTGTTTTTTTGTTTGTTTTTTGTTTTCCTCAAATGTGACCTTCCTTGGCCACTCTTTAAAATTCTACATCCATTCCAAAATCCTTTCCTCTTTCTTGGTTCTCATAATTTTAAAAATTAGCAACTACTATATATAACTATAAAGCTCCAATAAAAAAATATGCTAAAATGTATTTAATTTTTTCATTTTATTGCCATTTGACAGTCTGATTATTGTCTGTCTCTCCTTCTAGAATAAAAGCTGAATGAGGACATGTCAATTTTATCACCGCTGAATCCCACTGACCTAAAACAGTGATTAGCACATAGAGGGTGGAAGACGAATGACTGATGGTTGAGACGGTTAAGGTCAACTACTGTTTCAGAAAATTTAGTGGTTAAAAAGAAGATAGTTTGAAAAAGACACACAGATAATTTAGAGAGGATTTATTTTGAAATGGAGGGAATGTTGCAATCTATTGCTTTAAATGGGTTCCTTCCTCTGGAATTTCTCCCCATATTTTTCCACTGGAAAATCCACTTTTTCCTCTGCTTCCATGTAGTTCAGGTAGACTGTGGGTTCTCAACCTCAATACTGTTGACATTTTGTTCTAGGTAACTCTTCGTCTTGGGGCGGGGGCTGTCCTGAGAGTCATAGCATGCTTGGCCATATCTCTGGTCTCTATCCACTAGATGCCAGTAGCATCCCCAGAGTCCAGTTGTAACAACTAAAAATATCTCTAGACACTGCCAAGGGTCCCTTGGGGGGAAATAGTCCCATTTGGGAGCCACCAAGATAGATTTATCCTAAAGCTCCAAAGATTTATCCCAAAGCTCCAAAGCTGGGTGGGCAACTGAGGCCCTATAATTGGTTCATTTGGAGGCATGTAACCCTATTTGGGTAAATCAGAACTATTGAAGAATTTGTTTACGAGAGAAGCTCTTGGTATTGGAGTGCTAAGCTAGTGGGATGTGGCTTTGACAATGTCATCAAATAGTATGCCAGTTTTTAGGGAATGTCTGCCAGAGAATAAAACCAGTAAGGGAACGCAGAATGGGAAATATGACTGACTTCTGAGGATATGATTTGAATATTTAATTCCTGTTTTGACAGAAGCCAACTATACCCTGGGTCTTTTCTGTCTTGTCATATAATAAATTCTGTTTTTTACCTAAGCCAGTGAAAAATAGATTGTTCTCCCTTGCAGCTAAATGGGTCCTGGCTTGAGGAGGCCTATAGGTGGGAAGAAGGAGCCAGAGAGGGGAGAGAGTGTAACCGATGGAGCAATGTCCTAGAAGAGGCAGGATGTGGTGAAAAGTGGTGGATGGAAATAAGAATGAGGGTGAGTGGAGGTGGAGAAAGAGAAGGCCAAGATAATTGCCCTCTGATGTGTCCATGACCTGCTAAGAGTTCAAGGAAGGAGGGTTGAAGGTAGAATAGATGACTTGAGGTAAGTGAACAGATATCATAGGGAAATAAAAATGGTCCCCACTGTGAGTGACTAAAAGACTTGAAAGAAATATCTGAAGAGAAGTTTGCAACCATGTTCATGACAGCACTATTCACAATAGCCAAGAGGTGGGAGCAACACCTCCAAGTGTCCACCAATAGATAAATGGATAAACAAGATGTGGTATGTATGTGTGCTGTGGTTTGGAAGTAACCCCCAAGGTCCAAGTATTAAAGGCTTGGTCATAAGCCCATGTGCTATTGGGAGGTGGTGGAATCTTTAAGAGGTGGGGCCTAGCAGGAGGCAGTTAGGTCATTAGGGGTGTGCCCTTATATTTCAACCCTGTACACCCCCTGTTCCCTGTTTCATGGCCATGATGAGGAAAGGTGAACAGACCTCCTCTATCATGCTGTCACCATGATGTACTGTGCCACCCCATGCCCAAAATAACGGGGTCAAGTGACCATGGACTGTAACCTCTAAAACCATGAGCCCCAATACACCTTTCCTTATTTAAATTGTTTATCCTAAGTATTTTATCACAGTGACAGAAAGCTAACACAATAGGTAACAGAATATCAACCTTAAAAAAAGAAGAAAATCCTGTCACATGCTACAGCAGGGGCGAACATTGAGGGCATCATGCTAGGGGAAATACGCCAGATTGTGTGAGTCTACTTGCATGGGGCTTCTAATGTAGTCAAGTTCATAGAAAACAAAAAGTGGAATGGTGGTGTCCAGGAGCTGGGGAAGAAGGGAATGGGAATTTATTTTTTAGGGATATAGATTTTCAGTTTCACAAGGTAAAAAAAAAATCCTTGTGATTTGTTTTTACAAAATGTTACTACATTTAGTCCTACTGAATTGCACTTTTAAAACTGGTTAAGATGGTAAATTTCATGTTAAATGTGTGGGGTTTTTTGAACAAAACCACAATTTAAAAAAATTACAAAAAATACGCTGAACTGCATATCTCATCTAGGAAAAAGTAGAGAGAGGAAATTTGTGGTCACTGTTGAGCAGGGTTTTGTGTCACAATAGTTTAAATGACTGAACACAGAAAATTAACAGCTAGAGCTAGAGTGTGATGGGAGAGGAAAGGTGAGCTGGATAAATACAAGAGAAGGCATTGGTAGTGAGGAAGTTGAACTTGTAGGTTGAGAGTTTTTCTACAATGATCAAGCGGTGCTATCCAGAATGAATAACTTAAACCATGAACTAGGACTGTGACTGTTATTCAAGACATAACTATGTCAGTTATGCCAGGAGTTTATTGATTCTAGTCAGGTCTGGTGGCACAGGCCTGGAATCCCAGCAGCTTGGGAGACTGAGGCAGGAGGATCATGAGTTCAAAGCCAGCCTCAGCAACTTGCTGAGGCCCTGAGCAAATCAGTGAGACCCTGTCTCAAAATAAAACATAAAAAGGGCTGAGGACGTGGCTCAGTGGTTAAGAACCCCTGGGTTCAATCTCTGGTACAAAAGAAAAAAAATATTGATTCCAGAAAAACAGAATCATACAAGGCAAGTGATTTTTGTTTGTTTGTTTGTTTTGCAAATACAGTTTATTTGAATGACTAATGTACATATTAAAAATGTTCAGAAAATATCCAAAGCTTGAAATATATACCAAATCATTAGAATTAAAACTTGACTCCTATAATAAAAAAAAAAAAACTTGTGTAAATTGAAATCAGTGATTATGGAAAAGGCAAAGAATATACAGTTTGTCAGAGAAACTTAAAACAAATGGGGCTAAAAGTGAAATATTTAACCACATCAGAGAAGGAAGCTACTATTAAAATAAAGCCAGTCTTTCCCCAAAGGCAGGCCCATCATAATCACAGGGCGTACTCTGTATGTGGCTTAAACAATTAAAGCCACATTAAACCCAAAGCATATGGCAACAGTAAGTACGCTGGCTACAAAAGAGGATCGGTCTAGAGGCGAGGACAGCTCTTTTCAGTGCTTTGGTAAGAAGGTGACACTTCTAAAGCCATGTCCTTTTTCATTGCCACAGCCTGGCTTTAGGCAGATCACAGGGAGTCTTTGGCAAAGCCTTGCACTGCTCATGGCAGTGAACCTCAGTTCCTGTCTTTAATATCAAGCAAATTTTCTTTGATTTGCTTGGGAATAAGTACATACAGGAAGTTATTAGCTTATGAAATCACTTGACTGACGTTGAGACCACACAAAGAGACTTGCTGATCTTAAGGTGATGTCTTTCCAATGAATGTTCCATGGGATTCCAAGTCATAAACCACATGGAAATAGGTTGTTCCTGTTTAGGTGGCAGCGGTGCAACTTGATGTTCAAATAATGAGAGCGTTAATGTTTTCATTCAATTATAACCTTTAACGCCTATTAGAAGACATCATTCCATAAGACATGCTTCTTCAGAAAACAGGATCTGGAACAGATAATAATTGTATTTATGTTGATAAATGTGAATAACCCAATGAGGGAGAAATGGAAGTAATCATATCATTCTCATTCATTCATTCAACAAATGTTTATTCAATGGGTTTACTCTGGTCTCTCATGGTTTGGATTTGGAGATCTCTCTGGTATGAAGTATCCCGCTCCCCTCTTCCCTTTTTCTACAACTCTCTATTAGTAACTTTTCTTCTTCTATTACCACTATGGCTTTTCTGTACATTGCTTATGGTATTTATTCTGACCCTATGATATATGTTTCATATTCCTTTAGTAATTTCCAAAAGGGCAGAGGTGGTAACTTCATTTTTTTTTGTCTTATAGGTTGTGTAGGAGAAAGCATTTTCAAGTCACTTTTGAACTTGAATTCTTGAGGTTGGCCAAGAGAATCTTTTAGTCTTGTTTTTTCTTTTTTTTCTCATCTAGGATATTATTTCATCTTGGTATTATTTGGGGATAGTATCTGTCTTTCAGGATGATAGTGAGGGCATGAAAGACGCTCAACATAAATGCCCGGGCAGAGTAAACCTTCTGGTGTTCACCCCCATTTTCTGCCTTAGATGGATCCTTTAGGGTGCCTATCCACATTTCTGTACTCCCTATGATTTAGTCTTCAATTTTTAGTTTGCTATAAAATAGCTTCTCCATTCTCCTTAATAATCTAGAGTCTTTTCCATTCTCAGAATCAGCTGATCAATTTGCTTTCTCTTCACTGAGAAGACAAATCATCAAAGGGAATTTCCACCCATGCATTCACCACCATGCATGCACCACCAGACCTCTCATCTGCCTTCACCTGCACCTGTCTATTCTGCCTTCCCTTCTGTGACAAAGCCTTCTCCCGTAGCAGGTCAACCTCTCTGCTCAAGCAGTAGACCCTATTCCTTATAGTGCCTCCAGACGCTGCTCCAGCAAGTCTTCCCTCTTTCCTGCCATCACTTTCCCCCAGATCATTCTCATCAGCATATAGAACAGCAGCATAACAGCGATTTATCCATTCTTAAAAAATATCTCCTCTGACTTCTTCCTCTTCTTTCTACCTCTTGCTGTCGCTCCATGTATCTGGTCCTCTTTATAGAAAAACAAGTAGAAAAAGCTGTATGTAGTTGATATCTACAATTTATCTTCTTTCATTCTCTCATAAGGTCATTCCAGTCCTACTTCTGCCTGCCTACTTTCTGCCTAAACTGTTCTCATCGAGTTCATTAATAGATTTTGTGCTACTAAAGCCAATGGTCAATTTCCACTGCTCATCTTTTGTGACCTATCTATAGCAGTTGGTGGAGTTGGTCCCTGCTGCTTTCTTCTTTCTCCATTTGACTTCTAGAACAGCACACTCTGGGGCTCTTCTGTATCAGGGTCCTCTTCTGCTCCTTCCATCCTTTGTTGGTCCCTTCTCAACCCATATATCCTCCCTGTTGGAGTACCCAAGGCTCAGGACCTGGGAATTTTTCTCTTCCCTAGCCTCTTACACCACCCCCACCCTTGGTGATCTTATTTAATCTCATTGTCACATACATCCACACCCAGACAAGGCCCAAATGCGTATCTCCAGGCTGGACCTATTGCCTGCAGCACAGACTTGTACCTCAGCTTGTACATTTCTCATGGTAGATGACTCATCCCCCAATGGAACTCCATTCTTCTCCCCAGTCTTGCTCTTCACATTCCCACCCACCTTAATGGCAACTCTTTCCTTTTGGTTGCTTAGGCCCAAAAGCCCTGACATCATCATCATTGCCTTGCTCTCTCTCTCTCTCTTATCCTGAAATAAACTGTCAGCAAATCCTATTGTTACCCTCTGAAAAATGCACATGGAATCTGGACTCTTCTCTCCAGCCTGGTGGTGGCACTCACTATTTCTTGCTTGGGTTATTGCAGCAGCCTCCTCACTGGCACCCTGACTTCCACCCTTGGCTTCCTATAGTTTCTTCTTAACATACCAGTTATGGTGTTTGTGATGCTTCTTGGCTTAAACATTTATCACGATGACCTCACATACTCTATACAATCACCCTATCCCCATCCCCTATTCCTCTAATGAGAATCAGAGACTCTAACCCCTGGTCAGTCCAGTTGAAGTCACATTGACCATCTGGCTCCAACAGGGCAGCTTACTGCCCCTTATGGCCTTTGTGCTTTCTCAGATGCTCTTCCCCATGAAGCCCCAGGGCTGGCTCCTTAATGCTCTCTACTCTTTGCTCAAATGCCATTCTCTTAGTAAAGACAAAACTCAGACCCACCATGTTCTCTCTGTCTCCTTTGCCTACTTTATTTCTCTTTATAACATTTATCTTCTTCATTCTTTCTTTCTTGGTCATTGTACTATTTAGTTATATCTTTGTTGAATGGATGAATGGACTTTTACAAAACCAGGAAGATCATTTGGCAATACGAAGTAGGTAAATTAACAACGTGCATGGTCACTAAAGATTTGTGCAAGTCAGAGCAATATATACTTAGTACTATGCTTATTGATAAAATAGCACTATGATTATTGGTAAAAAATGGAAGGAAATCTTGACATATAAATGTATAAAAATATTTAAATTTCATTAGATACCAGTTTGTCTTCTGATTAGCTTGCTGGGTTGTACGGATCAACAGAGTATACTTCTCGTGTTTCTAAATGAAGAGCTCCATCTTTAGGGCTTGTATTTGTATAATAATTGCTAAATGGAAGAAATAAGAAAAAAAGCAAAATTTTTTACTTATTAAAATGATTATTATAAATGTGTATCAGTTGTTTGCTTTCTATAAATGTAAACACATGGTAAGTACTTTGCATTGATGATTTTATTTTATTGTCTTAAATATTCTGTGAAGTAAAAACTCCCTTTTTTGCAAAGGCACATAAAAATAAATTATTTGCCAGTGTGGGAGGTGTCCATGTCAGAAGCCGACACTAGATAATTTTATCCCACATTCAGGACTCCTAGTGACTAACAATTTGACTCCAAAATTGAGTAAAAAAGTGAAAAAAAGGTTTTATTTTAGGATAGAATCATAATTTACCCCTTTGAGACTCCATTTCCCATTCCGATTTAAAAGGAAATTTTGATATTTGATGTTTAATTCAGAATCCTTACATACTCATACAGCACTAAAATTTTTTAACTAATTTTCAAGAGAATGTTTTTACTTTGATTCCTTGAAAGCACATATACTTTACTGTGCTCTCTGTGTGTGTGTATGTTGCTGGGGATTGAACCCTTAGGCAAGTACACTACCACTTAGCTACACCCTAGCCTCACTATGCTTCCAAAGCCGTGTTTTTAGAATTAATGGAAGACAATACAATGTGATTATGCCATCAGCTAGATCTGTGAAATGAATTACTGGGTAAGAAAGGTTACCATTAAGGCTGCTAAGGCTACTTACAGCATGCCACTTACAACCACATTTAAGAGGTCAGCTTATAAAAGACACATTAAAGATATTATAAAATGGTAATCTTTGGGTAAGTGTGAGACTTAGGTTTTGGTAAAATATCTTAGAAGAACAGCACAGTTTTCTTCCAATATTTAGGTGGCTTTTTTTAAATATTTAATTTTGTCACTAGAAATTCATTTTAAAATGACCACTCATCTCATTTATAAAAAGTATTCAAGGCAGCTCAAATGTTTTAATATATTAATTATTAGAAAACAAATTGAAGTGGGTTAGAAAATGGAAAGTGTGAGTGACACTTAGGCATTTAGTTTAACATATATGTTTGGTTCATATTAATTAAGGCATTTAAATATGTTATATGATGTAACATGCTAACAAATAATAATATTAAGACTGGAACATTATGCATTATTTGAACCTCTAGGCATTTCCAAATTTGCAAATTTTCCTACACATGCAATGCTCCGATAGCAAACTTAATAGCATGAAGGAAAGAGATAGAGACCACATTTTCTATTTATTTAAATTTTAAATTACTCTTAGCTAAAATTATCTTCTAACTTCCTGTGAGGAAAGCCATGCAAATGATAGCCCTATTATTATTATTTTGGAGGGGGATCCTTTTTCTCTCTTGAATTCTATGAAACTACTCTCTCCTCATTTCCGTCTACCTCCATCTACTGTTTCCCTCCTGCCTTTTCAATATTACTGTCCCTCTGAGGAACTCTCTCATCCCCATTTTACCTTTTCTGTTGTTTTTGGTCTCAAGGCATCCACTGTGATGTGTCACCCACCTGAGTTTGGGCCCCTCTCTTGAGTCCTGCATAATGGCTGCCTCAGAATGCAGGCCAGAACGAAACTCATCCTCTTTCCCACAAAACCTGCCACTCTCCTCATGTAGTGAGCCACTGGCCCACCTTCACAGGAGTTGCTCTGTGTGGTCCTTCTCCCTCCATTCAGCAGATCACTAAGTCCTGGAAGTCCCATTCTTTTCATAAAGAAGATACCTCTTACATAGGTGCCACCCTCTTGACCTGCTACTTTGACCGACAGCCCAACTTGCCCCTTCTTTGGGAAGTGCAAGTATGAACACCTTATTTCCCTGCCTAAAATCCTACAGGACATACTCCTGCTCTTTGTCATGGTGTGCAGGGATTTTGATAGTCTAGCTCTTCACAAACTTTCTAGATTCCCCCAATGTCAAGTGGAACAGTAGTTCCATGGATGTTAAAGGACTATGTTGAAAAAAAAAGTTTTGCAGTTCTATTTGTTTAGAAAAACTGCCCCAAACCAAACCAAAATGGGTTTCTTTATTGCCATACTTTGAATACTCTCATGGTCATTGTGAACCTCTGCAAGAAAAATAAACAAAAAACAAAACAAAACAAAAAAACAAAAAACCAACCAACCAACCAAACAAACAAATAAATAAATATTTATTTGTTATACATATATACATGTACATATGTATATATTTATATTTTAATCAGAAACAGTTCTATAGTGAAGAGGTGCCCACTCTGGTAAACACTACATTCTAAGTGCATCCCAATTGTAGAATGTGGCCAAACCCATGCTCAGGCCCTCCCAGGTCTACAGTAAATTGCTTAGGTTCAAGGACACCATCAATATGTGATTTCAGTGCAACCTCTTCATGTCCATTACCTGTACTAGGTTATACAGCTGTGAACAATGGCATCAGATGGCACTGGTTGCCCAGGAAATGATAGAACCTACGGGGCTTGGCATGCTAAAGTAATTTTTCTGGGTATTTTGGGTGATGCATTTGGGGCGGCATGACTTAGTCATCCCTAATCCAAAGTTATCTGAGACTTGATGAGACATCATCTGGTTATCTTCCCTAACACTATCATGTATGGAGACTCAAGAACCTATGCATACAAAGAAGTCTCTAATGCCTGATGGTATGTTGTGTTGTTGCTAAAAATGTATCCTTTGCAGATATCAGTATTCTGTTATTTCCACAAGGTTTGGGGGCTCTCTGATGTCACACCTCCACGTAAATCTATGCCATCTTTAATTTCAATCACTACCTCATGTACTATTTCCAAGTCATGTCAGACTGGTTATATGATCCTTACAATATATGATGGGAAGTCAAGCTCCTAGGCTGTTATTCAAACTGCTCCTTCTATCTGGAATACTTTTTTCTTTTTGTCTCTCTTAAGTCTCACCTGAAACAGCTTCTTCACTATGAAACTGTTTCTGATTAAAATTTCCAAGTATTGACCATTTGCTTTGTGTTCCTACCAAATATCCCATAATTCAATATGACAACACTACATTCTTGTTGATTTGCAAGCTTGCTTCTCAGCCAGACTGATATCTTCACCCTCTTATTTTCCCTCCCCCTCCTCTTCTCTCCTTTTCTTCTTCTTTCCTCTCTCTCCTCCTCCTCTTCCTCCTCCTCTTCTGTTCTGGGGTTTGAACGCAGGAATAGTGTACCACTGAGTTACACCCCCAGTCCCTTTTTAATTTTCATTTTGAGACGGGGTTTCACTAAGTTGCTAAGGATGTCCTCCGACTTGAGACCCTCCTGCCTCAGCTTCCTGAGTTGTTGGGATTACAGGCAGGTACCACTGTGCTCAGCCAGACTTTGATCTTAATGATACAGCCCATGACTTGTGATTCTAGTCTAGTGTGGGACTAAGACATAGGAGGTACTCAGAAGTTACTGCATAATAAAAGAACAAATGGTCATGGTCATCATCTCTCATCATATCACTTCTATTTCTTTAACATTATTGATTAAAAATTTAAAAAGACACAGCAACATATGGAAGAGTCTATTCTGAAATTGCTGATATTCTTTAACTTAACACATTGAGCAATAAATAAGTAAATAAAAATATACAGCAAGGGGCTGGGCTTGTTGCTCAGCAGTAGAGCACTTGCCTAGCATGTGCGAGGTGCTGGGTTCCATCCTCAGCACCACATAAAATAAAATAAAATAAAATAAAGGTATTGTGTCCAACTACAACTAAAAAATTAAAAAAAAAATGTACAGCAAGTGGAAATCATGACAATAATAATGATTTGTAGAAAATGCTTTTACTAACTTGATAACTCACAAAAAACCTGTTAAAATGAATAATTGTATTAGGATAAAGATTCCTAGATATCATTTGAAATTAATTATTAATTATGTCAGAGCCAAAATGATTTTATTTACAAAATCAATAAAAAGGATACTTAGATAATTTAAATTTATGTAATTATGAGGTGAACTATTAAATTTTGACTGATAGATTTTTAAAAAAAATATCAAAATCTATGTTTCTGGAAGGAAACTGTGAATACTAATACTTTTTTCTTGGGGCTATGGTTATGGTTGTATATAAGTAGTTCTATAACCTATCTGCAAAAATAAATGGAAAAAAAATTTAAAGAGGGAGAAAATTGAAATCTCAGAAAAACTTTTATAATGCTATAATTCTTAATAGAGTAGTTCTGGCTCCTAGAGACAGGCAGATCAGCAGAACACCATCTATTTTCCACATCTCTATCATGTGTCTCTGACATAACTCGCAGCTGACATAATAATTAAATATTAATTATTTAATTATTATGTAAATAATTACACTACCTGGTAAAAAGCACTACAAAACATTGGGTAAGGAGGGATGTTCCTCAAAACAGGCTTTCAAAGAATTGACTACACAGAAAAAGAATGCAAGTGGGGTTACATCGACCACCAGGCCACAAAATAAATTCCAGTTGGATTCAGATGTTATAAAACAAAAGTAAAATGTAAAGGTATGTCTAGTTTCTGGATAAGAAAACACAAAAAATAGAAATCTAGTATTTATGCAAACAGAAAAATAATTTAGTCAAAAAAAAAGGTGACTTGACTGTGGGAAAATTGTTTTTTGACTCTTATACCTAACTTTTCTCAACATTAAATACTGAATTCATGAAAAATCATAATTGGGCTTAAGGTTTTCCTGACCTGAGCCAAATCTATATGGAAACAAATGGAGAGACCTAGTATGTTTCTGAACAAGAGAACATGAAAGAGGCCAATTTCTCAGAAATTCCTCTACAGACTTAAATGCAATCATAACACTTGATTGATAACAATTTCAAAAATTGCCTGTAAGAAAAAAACAGAATACAGTGGGAAGTCCCCCAAATTGTATTAGAGATCCTTTATCAGATATTATAGCAGTATAATACAGTTTATATTAATTAAAAACAAATTATTTGTGATGAAAGAATAGACAAATCAATGAAGCAGGAAAAGAGGTTGAGAAACACAACACATCCAGACACATTAATTATTTGATATATAATCAAGTTAGAAATTTCTGGAAAGTCATTTGACAATATTTGTTAAACATATTAAATATTCATATACTTATCCCTACTAATTCTAAAAATTTAAATTTATCCTAAAGAAATTAGCAGATGAGGAAAACAGTTTGTCCAAAGATTTTCTTCCTATCTTATTATCAAAACAAATGTATATACAATAAAATTGTTGCAAAGCATGAATACACAGAATAGAATAATAGGCTCTTAAGTAACTAAATAAAAACATGATTTAAGGATGTGAAAAATATATACATTCGTCTAAATGGAAATCAAATTAAGATGAGATATTCTAATGCCATAATTTCAGTTTAAAAAGCAAAAAAGAAAAAAAAATAAGAGAAATATTTGATAGGAATAGACCAAAATATCTGCAGCTGTTACCACTGGCATTTTGCTTTGTTTTGTTTTTCTTTCTGATCCCTAGATTTTGTACAGTGTACTATCTAAATAAACATCATTCTACAAAATGAGCTGTGTGCGGGGGATCTTTTAAGTTCTTACAGAAGGGTCTTCCTTCTATATATCACCAGATCCCTCCTTACAGTTGTCACATTGCAATGTTCACTTCAAACAATGGGTGCTTCTGTGTTCAGTTTCAGACAAGAAGCTAAGACCTGTTGTGCATTTTGATCAACCATGCAATTGAACTTACTGTTCTCTGTACTTAAGTATCATGTATAAGGAGACACCAACCAAGAAGAGAGCAAGTACTGAACCTGCCACGATACCTAGGGGAAAAAACAGTGACCATCAAATGCCAGGAAGACATGACCTATATCGTTATGGACTGATTGTGGGGCCTATGCTGAGTGTTTTATGCTTAAGAATTATTAAAAAGTTTTATATTTTATTATATTTAAATTTTCTCAACCATAAACATTGAGTTCCTGAATAAATCATAACTGGGCCTAAAGTTTTTCTGATTTGAGCCAGTCCACGTTTTATTTAAACAGAAAGCATGATATCACAAGGTTCCAGACAACTTTCTATTGGGTTTTTCTGTTCCTTTCAGTTTTATTAGTAACATTGTCACTGAGGTGAAATTAGGAGCTCAGGACACCAGGATGCCATGATTTTTGCATAACAACATTTGACTCTCAGTTCTTTTTTGCTAGAGCAGAATTTTTTTCAAAAGTACCAAATCATGCAAAAGACCAAGGGGTAATGAAAGCAAAACTTTCATTTTAAAAAGCAGGAATAGTTGGCTATTTAAATTACTTATGCAACTCTATCCAAAGGGATATTTTGTAATATGACATACACATTAAAATAGGATCGTATCCAATAAATTGAAATGAAAAAATATTAATGGACTATAGGGCATCTAATTTTATAAGTATTTATAAAAGACAATAAGAGATTTTCTTCAAGTATTTAAGAAAACTTACCAGAAAGAAGAGGAGCAAATGAACCTAAGGAGAATATAAAATCATGAAATATCAGTCTAATAGTATAATTCCATGTAACCCAAGTCCCATTAACCTCTGGCAATGTACCAGAAGTCAGCTCCCTTCCAAGTCTATTTATTATAGATTGGATTCCTGAGTTGGACCCACTCTTTTATCATGTGACAATTCACTGGATTTTTTTTTTCACCTAAATTAGGTAGGTTGGGAAATTCACCAACAAGTAACAAAACAATATACTCAACTTTGTTATTAACGATTTCTCAGAATTGAATGCAAACATGAACAGTTCTAACAGGTTAGTTAACATGTTTTTGGAGCTCTTGTCAAATTGGCAAGCACTTATAAATCGAAATTAAGCAAGGAGGGAAATCACTGCTACAACTCTTTTCCAAATGGAAGGCTGTTAGTATGCATTTTTCTCCTCTTAATGTTTCCCTCTTTTTCTTTTATTTACTTCCTGCATCCTCAGAAATCTGTGTTTTTTCTAGAATAGACCACTGGCTTCAAGTTCATTGTTATTGTACCACTGGTCACAGACCTATGTCAATTGAAAGCCCTGCGGTCTCCAATATTGAGGCAGACACTTCATGGTCTCTCTCCATGGGCCAGATGCAAGTAGCAGTGAAGCTTTAGCACTTACGGGATGTACAGACAGCCAGGGGAGGGTTCCACTGGTGGTCGCCTTGGCACTGGCTCTGAGGGCTGCCCTCCAGGGTATAACCATCTTCACACTCCATAGTTACAACAGCTCCATACTGATACATCTTCCCAGGCTCCAGTCCCTTCTGGATTCCATTCATATTCTCGGTGAAGTTACAGTTTACCTCTGCAATTAAAGGAATCAGACTGAAGTAGAGTCATACTTTGTCCCTTTACTAAGAAAGAAGCAACTCCTTTTTTTTTAAAAAAATATTTTTTTAGTTATACATGGACACAATATCTTTATTTTGTTTATTTATTTTTATGTGGTGCGGAGGATTGAACCCAGTGCCTCACATGTGAGAGGTAAGCACTCTGCCACTGAGCCACAGCCTCAGTCCCAAGAAGCAACTCCTTTTACTGGAAAGGTTATGAAACTACCTTATTTCATTGTCAGTAAGCAACGCTTCATTGAAATAGCAAACAGCAATATTTCAGGTATAGTCTCTTAGGATCAGCTGTCAGTCTTAATAATCACCAGGTAATTTAAGTCAGATTGTTTTCTTTCTTTTTGCTTCCATATGGGATCATTCTAAAGGCTTCTTAGAGAAAAGATGAAGGCTGAATGGGTAATATTAAATATTTTGAATTATTGGCTTATTTTCCTACTCCCCATCTTACTCTCTAATTCATACTGGTATGTTTTCTCATTTTTCTTTCACCTTTCCAGTGTAGAGGTCAATAGTGTAAAATCTTAGATTTGAATTCTGATTCTCCTACTTGCTAGTTGCCTGACTTTGAGTAAGTTATAAATCTCTCCAACCCACTGGAGCCTCATCTATAAAACAGGGATAATAATGGCCCCAAACTTCTATGGATCTCAGGAAGATTGATCTCATGAGGTTGTGCATGTAAAGTGTCTGGCATATAGTAAAATGTGTTCAGCAACATTAGATATTAATTTACTATTCATACTTCATATGCAATGTTTTTGATAGCAAAGATGACTTTCTGAAGATTTTTATAAAAAAATTTACCCATAATCCCATGACCACCCAGAGGAAATATGCTCAAAAGACCATCATATTTTTTATTGGTGTTTTATCAAAAGATTTTATCATAACTGTAACCAGAGCATAGATACAATCTGTGCTTAAGTTTAATCATGAAAACTCTTCAACTTTCTGTATGTGAAGGATTACATTTGTGGTCATTTACCACATAGACTATAGCCTAAGCCATTTTTCTGAGTTTGAAACATTCATGTTAATTAATGTATTAATCCAATTAAGTGCATTTAATTAAATGATCCATTTAATAGCATTTCATTGGCTATTCTAAGTTGAACATAGAACATTTCAACAGTTCAACTATTCTAAGTTGAACATAGAAAATATCTATTTGGAACAAATTGATTTACTAAGATCAAAAAAAAAAAAAAAAAAAAAAAAAGAAAAAATAGACAAAGTACCTTTACAGTAAGGGGCAGGGTGACTCCAGGTTCCCTCATATGTGCAGACAAGGAACTCCTCTCCCACCAGCAGATAGCCTTGGTCACAGCTGTACAGGACTGACATTCCAGCAGCAAACTCAGCTTTATTTCCACCAGTATGAGACCCATTGGCGATGGTAGGTGGAGGCTGACACTCTAAGAAAGCTTAGAGATCAATAAGGAAGGACCTTTAATTCGACATAGAGAAATACCAGACAGCACTATCTTAAGTGATAACAGTGCAGAAAGGCAATCGGCCATAAGCCGGTTAATTGGTAACCAGAAACATTCATTCCAACCAGACCAAGCATCACTGGACAGAAATGTATAACTCCTACCTACCTCATAGATGATCTAAGGAAAAGTAACAAAGGAAGATATTGAAACATCAGTGGCTGTAATCCACAGTTGTAATCTGTCAACCAAGAGAATTCTCTTCTTTTTCCTCTACCTAGCAAATAGGCTGGAGTCTAAGGATCACACATCCAATGCCGTTAGGAACTAGGAAGTGAGTCTCTGTGTGATAAATCAGAGATCCCCTATCCTTTCAAAAGTGGCAATTGCTGTGGATGTCACTATTTGCAGGTTCACTAATTTTCTTGGGCAACAGAGATGGGTTTCTCGTAAAATAAGACTACTGTGTTGGCCACAGAGAAGTTCTGGGGTCCTGAATTCATTTGGGTCGCTCATTGGCAGTCTCTGCTGTAGATAATCACTGACAGGAATAAAGCTCCCAATGACAACTAAAATTATAAGAAAGATAATTTGGTGGTCTGAAGGCCAGCTTCACTCTTTGGAACACTTACGGTTCTCCTTCTAGTTGGTATGACAGCCTTAAATATCAAATTATCAAGCAACATTACAGTCAAACATTAGCCAAAAAATATCTGTGTATTTTTCCTATTTTAAATTCATAAGAATAAGAAATTTGGAGCCTCAATTAATTTGGAAGTTAACTTTTGTCCTTTCATATAGTATTGCTCCTCTACACATTGAAAACAGAAAGAGGGAAAAGCATCATTGAGAAGGAAAATCAGATATCTTGTCGAACAATACAACCGCCTTAGCTTTTAAATGCTTTCCCCTAGCCAGAAGGGCAAGTGCATATTCAAAAACCTTTATTTTGTACAATATCCATATTTTATTCCTTAAAGGAACTTACCTTTTTTGAAACAAGTCGGTACCCCTGGTACCCAGGTATTATCTGTATGACACCTTATCAAGTGACTTCCTTTCATGATGAAGCCGGGATTGCAGGCAACATACAATAGGTCATTGTGGGAATATGCAGAACGAGTTTTGTTGAGCTTGTATCCATGTTTGATTTCTGGGTTAGGGCAGTGAGTTACAGGCGGAGACTGTAGGCACCGTGGGGGAGGTTCACTCCAAGACCCATGTCCTAGAGAATCATTTCCGCACTGTAAAATTTTCTTCCCCAGAAGATAGAATCCTTGGTCACATTCATAAGAGACTTCAATTCCATACAGAAAGTGCTCTGCCATCATGCCCGTGTGCCTCCCGTTGTCAATCTTAGGTGGAGGGGGACAGTGAATAGCTGCAGGAGAAATTTAGAGGATTCAACTTCAGTGGATCCATCACAATGACGATTTTCATTCAGTACAGGTGACACTATACAACTGCATTACACCTCACATAACTAAAATTATTTAACTTTTGGAAGCCGGATTATGCTTTTTGTTAAACATCTTCATTAAAAGTTGTGACGAGTAATACATACTTGTTCCAAAAAATTCAGAAAAGTATTAAGATAGAAAGAAATACAACTATGTTCTTATAGCCTAGAAATAGGAGCTACAGTTTTTAAAAATAGTTTATATATTTTATAAATATATGGCAAATACTCACTTTCTATTATTTGTTTCCTAGTGCAAGGGTTGATAAAACACTGAAAGTTTGGTTTTTTTGGTACTAGGGATTGAACCCAAGGGCGCTTAACCACTAAGCCACATCCCCAGTCCTTTTTATTTTTTATTTTAAGACAGGCTCTTGCTAAATTGCTTAGAACCTCACTAAATTGCTGAGGGCTGGCTTTGAACTTGTGATCCTCCTGCCTCAGCCTTCCTAGCCTCTGGGATTACAAGTGTGCACTACTATGCTTGACTCAAACACTGATAGATTTTCTATTACCTTACATATACACTGAGGGAGAATCATAAATAAATGAAATCTCTTCGGTGGCCTTCCCTCTCTAACCCGCTATGTACACAGGTAGTTTTGTGTTTTTTTTTTGTTTTTTTTTTTTTTCGAATTTACCTTTACATTGTGGAATCTTCTGGAACCAAACCCCATTCTTAGCATCTTGACATTTCTTATAAGCATGTCCAGTCAACCGGTACCTAGTGAGAGACAGAATATAATACATTACCTTTTTCCAAAAATCACACTTCTGCAACTGGGCTTCTTCAAACTATAGATACAGAGGCACTTCCAAATAGGAACTTTGGCGGAGGAAGCTAGAACTCTTGATTTTGTAAATAAGAAAACTACTTTAGACTTAAAAACCCTGTAAAGCTCTTCCCATTTCAAGAAAGCATAGAAACTCAGAGTCGCTAGTTAGACCACCACAACCTAATGCTCTCTGTGGGTGTAACAAGGAGGAACCTGTAAAGGAACTCATCAAGAAAAGCTGTGGGCAGAGTGAGCGAGCAAACCCAAGGCAGACCCCTTTACTCAGAACGGACTACCTCACACTCACCCGTCTTGACAGGCCGTGTTCACTAGTTCCACATGTGCCTCAGCTGGAAGCGTTGTCACATCCCTACATGCTTCTGGGGGAGCAAAATTGGAATTATTCATAGATACTTCATCTCAAAGAGAAAGACAACTCAGGAACTGAAAGTACCTTCACATCGTGGAGTGGGACTCCAGTGTCCTGAAGGCATACACTGAATGGATTTGTTTCCCACAAGCATGTAGCCAGGGTCACAAGTGTAGTCTACAGTCGTCCCCGGGACAAAGAGGACCATATTTCCACCTGTATGCCGACCGTGATGGAGCCCAGAAGGAGGCTGGCATCCTGAGGAGAAAGCTCCCCACATAAACACCAATACAGAGGAATTCGACTCCAAAATTGTAAGTATGCAACATTTGACAACAGACAATCTAAAACTTGGAAGCCGAGGATCAGAAAGCTCTCATTCATCACTGAATGCTTTCTACTCTTGTAAAAGAACAAGTCCCATTAAAAAAAAAAATCCCTCTCATTATCTACCCTGACTATATCCTAGATCTAAGGGGGCATTTGCATGAAGAATACATACAACACACATAGAACATTCTTTCGCAGAATCGAAGGAATGGGAAAGTAATTCATGCTCCCTTGGCTTTTTCTACAACTCTAGTATTGAGTGGGAGTAATAAACAAAAAAGTAAGTAAATACCTTTTTTTTTTTCTAAATCCCCATTGGGTTTTTACCTTTTTCACAAACTGGTTTTTCAGGATCCCAGATATCATTGTCTTTGCAACGAATCTGACCACTACCCTTCAAAGTATATCCATTATTACACTTGAAGGTCACAGTGTCATTGTAGAAATATGGGGCTGGCTTTATGGATGTCTTGACTCCATTTTCAATGATGACTTCTGAGCACTGGACATCAGGGAGGGAAAGTTTACAGAGAGGAGCGGGGCCACTCCAGGTGCCTCTCTCTCGATCAGTGCTTGTACACCGGATGGTGCGCTCCCCAATGAGGTTGAATTGGACTCCTTTCTCTGGCCCGGGGTTACACGTATAAGTGATTATGGTTCCATATGGAACGTCTTCGGAGGAACTCCCTGTGTGTATCCCATTGTAGATAACAGGGGGTGGTGGGCAGGTGATTTCTAGAGAGATGAAAAGATACTGTAGAAGTCTCTCTCAGACAACAAAGAATATTAGCAAAGCAGGTTGTGACGCTGTCATTTCCCAGAGGCTATGGATGAATTTTCATGGTGTTATTTCGAAGTTCATTATGGATATAAAACTTAAGCAGTTTCACAGGAAAGAAAATCTTTATTGAAAGTGAACATACCGATCGATATCAAATTATGAGGCAGAAAGACCCAGTAGTCACTTGCTAATTAAAGGAAGAATTCTTTGAACATAGCCGATGGGAGGACAAAAGGTACAGGTGATAGAATTATGCTTTTTTGAGTGCTTTGTGCTGAGGTGATACAATAGTACAGTTGGCTAAGAGTATCTATTGTTGGCTGAGTGCCTATTTTGTGACTAGAAGTTTTTCCATCCCGAAAATAGGGTTAGTATCATTTAATTCCAATAATTCTGAAGTCTATAGTTTGATGCCAGTTTTACAGATGAGAGACTAGAGCTTTAGAGAAGCTACATAAATTGCCCAAGGTCATACAGCTATTAAACAGTGGGAACAGAATCTGACTTCAGATCTGACACCCATCTCCTGTTCTCTTCACTAAACCACAGTTATCCCATGTTAAAGATGGAGGTTCACACATTCATCACTCTCATTATTCTCATAATCCTAAATCACAAAAGAGAATCAGCAACTGAATACATTCAGTTTAGGTGACTGAAGTAGGCAACAGTGACAACAGAAAGACATGGCAAAGCTATGCCACTGTAACCATTGACAGAATTGACAGAATGGAATCTAATGCACTAGTCCCCACGGCATGGCCTGAAACCGAAATCTCCCAAGAAACACATAGATGGCCCATCACTTCAGATTCTCTGTCATTTTTTGCCACTCACCTTTACAAAGACGAATCTCCATATACCAAGGAACTGTACCTTCACACTGTTGATAAGCATTCTCACTTAACCGGTACCTAGAGATAAAGAGTCACATCATTTGGCCATCTGCTGACCACTAAGCTAAGTGAGAACTATTGGCTTTAAGGCAGATTTGTTCCTTTCAGAACAAGAAGTGATAGAAGCAACAGCAACAAAAATGTAGCCAGGGTCAGTGCCATCTATCCATTGCATAGTTTCTATGCAAGGACAAATAGCGTGATCAACTCTGCAGGAACATGGAACAGGGAAGGACCTTTGAGATAAACTCTTACATAGTAGTATGCACTACTAAGTCAGAGCCTTCACTCACCCTTCACCGCAAGAAGAGTAAACAGCTGGTCTAATAAACGCATTCTGAGGTTTTTCAAAGAGTTGCGGTCCTTTCGGTTTACACTCCGCCACTAGGAAAGTAGACGAGGGGGAGACATCAGCACAAGGTAGTCTTAAAAACAGCAAAACATCTGCATTGGAGGCTTGGTACCTTTGCACTGAGGGGTAGTGGGTGTCCACTTTCCTTCCGAGGTGCAGTTTAAGTATTCTTCTCCTACCAGCACATAGCCAGGATTACAGCTATATTTTATGGAGGTCCCAGGGTCAAATCGGACCAGGCGTCTATCTTCTCTTTGCCCATTGAGGATTGTAGGAGGTGGCTGGCATTCTAAAGCAAAGGAAAACACAAAACAATTGCTTTAAGATAACAACAGAAACTGAGCCAAAAAAAAAAAAATTGACATTAATGCTACAGTTGCACTCTGGCAGCAGCTGTGTGGCACGAGCGTATCTTGCAACCCAGTTTGGGGTAATTTTAGATCATTGCTTCTCAGTCATGTTTTCTTGTCTGTACTTAGGCAGCTGCAGATCCTGTTCAGTTCCTGCTTGGTCTAACTCCTCTCCTGTTTCTTCCTTCTTAAGGAACCATCTTGGATGCTTTTATGGGAGATTCTGATATATCCCTGGGTGAGGGCTTTGATGACTTCCCTTTTAAGAAACATTGTTAAGACAAACAAGTGTTTTACTTCCATTTTTTTAAAGAAAGAAATGGACAACTCAATGATCCCTAATACTTTTTCCCCAAGCATATTTCCACAAAATGAAACCATGGTGGGGTGGGGAGTGTTAAGAAAGTCCTCCATAGAATTTCTGCCCACTCTATATTTAGTTTGACCAAGAGTACAGGAAGTGGAAAAGGTCCTGTTGAAAGCCCACAATCCTTCCTCGACCTTTTCGAGACGATACATCAGTACAGAACACTCACCCTTTTCACAGACGGGCACTGATGGCTCCCACGTGCCTTGGGCATTACATCGTATTTTCCCACTGCCCTTCAAGGTGAAGCTGGGCTCACAAGCAAATACCACCGTGTCATTATAGGAATATTGATCTTTTGGCACAGATGACATTTGGCCTCTCAGGATCTGGGGATGTGGACAATGAACCGCAGAAGTAGAAAGTTCACAGCGTGGTGCAGGGCCGCTCCAGGTCCCCAACTTCTGACTATCCATGGTACAACGGATAGTGTTCTCCCCAATAAGGATGAATTTCACTCCTTTCTCCGGGTCTGGGTCACAAGTGTAAGTGAGACTGCTTCCATATGAAAATTTCCCTGAAGAGCTGCCTGTATGTCTTCCGTTGAGAATAGGAGAAGGTGGTGGGCAAAGAATTTCTACAGAAATTAGAGAGAGATGAAAAATCACAAGTGTACTGCAAGAGACAATGCCTCAGGTGCTGCTTGAAACTACTCCCACCTCCTAGGTTCAAGGACAGTGATATTTGAATCTGTAATAACTCCATCAAGACAGCAAATACAATATAATTTAAAAGTATGACTTTAAATCTTCATGTTTGAGTATATTGACTCAGCTGATCCTTTGGTTCCTATTACCAAGTATCCAATGTTTTTGAATGATTTCACAAGTCTATGTAGCTTTCAGAGAAGGAAAAGCCTAGGAAGCCCATTTGACTTGAGGGAGGCTGAGAATAAAGAGACAATTGAAGGCTGCTTCAATGAAGACCCTGCTGCTTAAGATTTCAAGGTATCCTTTGCTATGTAAGAGTCTGTATGCTAGTGAATGAACCAGAAGTTTTTTGTAAAGCTGAGACTGCAGCGTCCTGTCAAACCACCATGGCGCCCTATGTATGCCCTACGGTTGTCTTACATACCTTCACATACAGGTTTCTTGGTCCAAATAGCTTTATTTCCAGCAATTACACACTGACTAGAAGGTTGGCCTTGTAATCTGTACCTGGAGACAGAGGGTGGTCATTCAGAGCTGTCAGGCAGTTTGTGCTGAAGAACGTCAGCCTCTCACTCAAAATACAAGACAAATTCATTCCATTTGTGTGCACCTACTTTTTTTTTTTTTTTTTAACCAGCTGTCTCTCTTACAACCTCACTCAGGATAGCCATAGATCCTTCCAAAGGTTCCTTCTGCAAATTTCAGTTTCCACCATGCATGGGTCATCCAAATAAATTAAATCTCAAAGAGCCTCCTGATACTCACCCTTCATTACAGGAGAATTTCGCAGTCACTCCAGCCAGAAGACTTTGAGGTACCTCTACCCGCCCATTGAGAAGCTGAGCTGGAGTGTCACACCGTGCCTCTAAAAATACAAGCCACATATAAGAAAAGGTGGCAAATCACAGAACAGCCCAGTTCCTTAAAATAGATTGCAAATATAGGATACCTTTGCATGTGGGAGGGGCAGCACTCCAGTCTCCAGAAGATAGACACCTAATGATCTTTTCTCCATTAAGCAAGTAGCCACGTTTACAACTGTAAGTCACAGAAAATCCCGGGGCAAACTGGCCCACATTTTGCCCTGTGTGATGTCCATTGTGGATCTCAGGAAGTGTTGGACACTGCAGAGGGATATCTTCACACACACACCACCCACCCACACACACACACACACACACACAAACACACATATTAGGAAAAAAAGCCATCAGATGAGACGGGCTTCACAATCTGCTCACTTTAGGACATAGATTCAAATAAATGGCATGTAATTTATAGCAACCAGCTATCACTAATTTTCAACTTCAAATGTGGTTTAATTGTATCCACTTTATCCCCTGACTCTTGCATTAATTTTCATCTTTAATTACACTATATGAATTGATTTTGCCTTGAGAAAAATTTCAGTTGCTAAAAGTATATCCACTTTTACCCATATTTTCATCCTGTCCTTAAGTTTGTTCTCTGCTCCAAAAGTAGTACTTTATTATTTGCAGGGTAATCCTGCCAGATATTAGTCATATAGCTTACTGGTATCCAATATGTGATACATATATACACTAATATATTGTGGGCATACTCCATACATATTATCGTATGCTTCCTGTACTTAATAATAGAGTATGTCTATATCATACAAATGTGTCTATATATGTCAATATATGTACATCTATCTACCTAAAGGTTTACAAAAACTTAGTTACTGTTTCCCATAGTCATTCAATTTTGTGACTATCTTAAAAATCTCCTCCTCTGAGACTATCCTCACATTTATGTACCTATCTATTTATAGATCAATCTATTGGTAGATGGAATTATATTGTTAATGATTGAATGGTTTCTCAGCCCTTTAATCCATTTAGAATTTTTCAATATTGTTCCTTATTAAGAATATAAATATCCAGTTGTGATGCTATAACATTTTCAAATATTGTCAATCCTTGTAATTGGAAAATTGAAATTTGGATTTGGAGAGCATTCGGAATATAAACCAAGCCAGATGAGAAGAAAATGAAGAATTGAATGTAGTCCAGTTTTCAAAGTCTTTTGATCCGAAGAGTAATGTCGTCTTAGGAGATAACTTGAAGAGACACCAGGGGTCACTTCAGAATGTGCTTACCAAGCACAGAGGACAGAATGTCACTTGAGCCAGATTATAATACAGCCTTCCTCAATGGATTTTACATCCATTGGGTGATTTTTTTTCTATTAGATCCCACATTTCTTATTACTTTAGTAGTAACCCAAATATATAGTTTAAAATCACTCAAATCCCATAGCTCTAGTAAACTCTGGCCTCCCATCTTTGGGAGATTTTCCACTCAGTTATTAAGAAGGATCAATGACATTTTCCCCTAATACTTCAAACTCCTTTGCTCAAGTCATGTTCTTTAAATTGACAGTAAAATTCCTCCACAATGAAGAAAAAAGATGGAAACCTCAATTTTCAAATTTTTCCTTGCTTCCTCCCTCCACCCCTATCATCCTGAAATCCATCTTTTTCCTCCCTTCAGGAAGAGACAGAGATGGGAGATCCCAGCCCCTCAACTAGGTTTTTCTTTCTCACTCACCACTCTCACAGGTCGGTAGTGGCGTTGGGCCCCACATTTTATTTGCTTGGCACCAAACAGTTTTGTTTCCTTTCATGGTGAAGTTGGCTTTACAGGTAAATGTCACAGAATCACCATGTTTGTATGGTGGTCTAGCTTCTCTATTTCTGTATCCCCCTGGTACGGTGGGCTCAGAGCAAGAAGAATCTTTTTGGAAATATTCACATACAGGAACAGGTTTATCCCAGACTCCATTCACTTGGTCTTTACTTATACACAAAATAACTTTTTCTCCGATGAGACGATATTTAGCCACACAAATGTACCTTATTACGGTACCAAGATGTATAGGTTGCGAGTAAGCACTGTTCCGACCATTTTTTATAGGAGGAGGAGGGTCACAAGAAATTCCTGAAAAATAGAAAAGGAATTATGTTGGCACACTGATGGTGACACTAAAATATTCAAATTTAAACGAAAGATTCAAATGCCACTTTTAAGAAACTGGCTTAGGTATTTGTATGATTTATGTCTTGCTTACAGTCCTCATTGATTCCCAAGCTCCTAAATTCTTACCTGTTTCTCAGTCCTCAGCTAACAAATCAATATAAACCATTTTAACCAAACAATAACAGTGAAACTGAATTTATACAATAGTTCTGGCTAAACAATTTTAATGAGAAGCAATAAACAAACAGCACATGGGAATAATATATTAATGACATGGTAATTACATATGAGGAGGCATCTTAGACTAATGACATTCACACTCAGTAGACCTGATTTCAAATCTCCACTGTCATTCAATAGCTGTATGACCTTAGGCAAGTTGTATCTTCTCTCAGCCTCAGTTTCTTTATCAATAGTATAATTCAAGTTACTTCATGGAGTGTGATGAGAATCCAGTGAGACAAAAATATGGGAAAGGGGCAAGTTCAATATCTAGAACAGAATAATCACCCAGAGCCTATTTCAAATGCACCGCATACCTGGGGTTACAGGTGGCATGATCACGTTTGGTCCTACCACTACAGATACTGCAACTTGACCACAGGTCAGCTGCCATTCCTCAAAGCTAGATTCCTTTGAGAAAGTCACAGGAAGTGAACAGAATCTTTGAATAATCACTTCATATCCTTTATTTGTGTGTCCTAATGGGCATGAATGGTATTAGTTGTTAATATGCACACCTCTCCTGGGTAAGCCTCAGAACAAAGAGAAAACTACCAAACTCCACCCTTTTTAGTTAATTTCCCTGGCTCCAAGAGGAGCCCTTCAGTAGAGGAACTTGCACAGGAAGACACAGTTTAACTGTTTTAGCACATCCTTCTATGCTTGGTTTTGGTCCTGGTAACTGTATGTCTAGAATCCACAATACAACATGCAGTCAACTGAGTAAATTTAACCCTTCTGGTTCTACATGCTAAAACAGAGAGAAAAGTGAGCATCTACATATCTATTTATATATGCCTGTATGGATATAAATACATAAATACAGATGTCTTCATTCAAAGCACACACATGGATAAGATGTATAGTTGGCAAACGTATGTAAACACAAACAACATCAAGAGGCAAGATCCATATTTGATGATTCTTGTTTTCTACTCACGTTCACAGACAGGAAACTTATTACTCCAGATTACTGTCATTCCTTCTTGGACACACTGACTAGAAGATTTGCCATTTAATCGGAACCTTAAATAATAAGGGGTAGCAAATCATCACTAAAAGAAACCAATTCTCTGTTGCATGGAATTAATCACTTTTTTCAAGTATGGATAGAATCTATATTTTAAAGCATTTCTGGTAAGGAAAAAGTCCAAGGTTACTTGTAAGTCCACTCAGTCATACGATAGATCCAGACTAGGTAACAACAGAGAGAAAACAAAGCCTAAGAATCATATTCTTTTCCTGAATTCTCTCCCTCTCCTCTTTGGCATCCAAAGGTCAAGAGTTTCTTGACCATCGTGAAGATAAAGGCCTCAGATCCTAGAGAAGAAAATATCAAAGACCTTGTTACACAAGTTCACCCTGAGGAGTCTCTTTGACTGAACCCAGATCATGTATTCATTCTTTATAACAAGACCTTTAACATTTGAACCAAAACTCTTCTTTTTCAAATAATGAATTGATAATTTCCAGCCTTGACTGACCATACCCAATTCATACACTTGTAGAAAATGAAAAGCGTATGGTTACTCACAGAGTTCTTAGTCATAAAGTGTAAAGAAAAGGAGAGGAAAAAGAATCAAAGTGAGAAAAAAAAAATGAACCATTTTTAGAGTTCACATGTTGCACTTCTCAGCTCTGGATAGGTGTCAATTCAGGCCCTATCACCTCACACTCACCCTGCATCACAAACAAAGGAAACCTCTGCCCCAAGCTGGAGGTTAGGAGGAGGAACCACGCGGCCATTGAGAAGTTGGTTTGGAATGGCATCACATGATTTCACTAGGGAAAAAGAGACAAGGCTGGTACATGCAGTCAGGAAACGGCTCAGTTTCCTTTAGCTGCATAAGAGGTTTAAGGCACCTTCACATGTGGGGGCTGCATGGCTCCAGGTTCCCAAGGATGTACACTGCACAAGGTTAGATCCAATGAGAGTGTAGCCAGGGTCACAGCTGTAGGACACTTCCTGTCCAATTGTAAAGAACTCCTTATCCCTTTTGTTATAATTACCATGGTGGACATGTGGAGGTGGTAGACACCCTGAGAAAAGAACAAGACCAGACGGTCTTTTATTTCTGAAATAAGAACCTTCTTCTTTACAACTTATAGCAAGACTGTGGTTGATAGGAGTGGGATGGAGATTCTCTATCAACTCTCCTGGGAAGGCAGAGACCCACTTTGAGAGAGGAGGAGAGGGCTGACTCTACTGCTCTTTTTTGGACATGAAGACCTAGGCAGCTACCTGTTTTTTCTATTCTTGATCCTTGGCAGGAAACATCACACTCACTCATTGCTTTTCATTTCATTCTACTACAGCATCCAAGATACTCTTTCACTAATAGTGGAACCAAGGGAACCATATTTCAGGAACACATTTTCAACACCAAATCTGTCTCTTCTTTTCTGCTCCCAAAACAAGACTGATGAGCTTTCTGAACTTTGTGAAAGGAATTCCCAATGCTGCCATGTTTTTAGAAAGTTAGATCTTTTGCAATAAGAGTAGGGGAGAAGGGAAGAATGGGAGAACAGACCCAATCAGACTATTAGCCTTCTTTCATAAAGGTTATATTTCTCAATGTGAAAATGTATAATGTCCATGATATTTTGAATCAAATTCTGATCTCACCTAATTTCCCCAATTGACATGGCCAATAGGATTGAGAGCTCATTTTATCCTCATTTAAAGAAATCTAAATATATATAGATAGATAGGTATAGATAGATAGATATAATCTCTATTGACTTTGTGATTCTCTCTCTCTATATAATATATTTACATATATAATATATTTGGGGGGGCGGGTATAGGGATTGAACTCAGGAGCACTCAAATTCTACCTCTGAGACACATTCCCAGCCTTATTTTATATTTTATTTAGAAATAGGGTCTCACTGAGTTACTTAGGGCCTTGCTAAGTTGCTGAGGCTGGCTTTGAACTCACAATCTTTCTGCCTCAGCCTCCCAAGCCGTTGGGATTATAGGTATGTGCCACTGCGCCCAGTTTATTTATTTTGTTATTATTTATTTTATTTTGAATTGGAACAACATTGTACCAATATATGAGATACCATGTGATGTTCAGGTACATGAATATGTTGTATAATATTCAAGTCATGGTAAATATAGCAATATTCTAAAATATTTTTCATTTTTTGTGGTGAATTTTTTCAAGATTGTTTCTTTTATCTTTTAAAAAATGTACTGTATATCATTATTACATAGAATCATCCTACTGTGCAACAGAACACTAGAATTTATTTCTCTTATCACTTAGTATCTATTGGTCAATGTCTCCTCAGCTTCCCCCGCCCCCCATCTCATCCTAGGCTTTGGTAGCCACTATCCTATAATCAACTTTTATGAGATCAACTTTTTTAGATTCCATGCATGAGTAAGATCATGTGGTATTTGCCTCTCTGTGCCTTGGATTATTTCACTTAACATAATGATCTCCTGTTCCATCCAGGTTGCCATAAATGATAGGTTTTCTTCTCATTTTATTCCTGAATAGCCTTCCATTGTGTTTGTGCACTACATTTTCTTTATGCATCTTCAGCTGATAGATACTTAGACTGTTTCCACTTCATGGTTATTATGAATAATGCTTCAGTAAATATGGAAGTGCAGGGTCTCTTCAACACACTGATTTCATTTCCTTTAAATATATATAGACCCAGGAGTGGGATTGCTGGCTTCATATAGTATTTCTATTTTTAATATTTTGAGGAAACTCCATTACTGTTTTCCATAATGACTGTACAAATTTTACATTTATATAACCCTATGTAAGCATTCCCTTTTCTCTATATCTTCATCAGCACATGCTACATTTTTTCTTTTTGATAATGGCCATTCTAACTGGAATAAGATGATGTCATATTGCATTTTTTTCTGATCATTAGTAATGTTAAGAATTTTTTTCATATATTAGCTATTCATATTCATATGTCTTCTTTTCCCGAAATGACTACATCTATTGTCCATTTTTAAATTTAATTATTTAAAAATTTTTGCTTTTGAGTTGTTTGAGTTCCTTGTGTAGTCTGGTTATTAACCCCTTGCCAGATATGTAGTTTACAAATATTTTCTTCCATTCTGTATGTTGCCTCTTCACTTTGTTGGTCATTTTTTTTGATGTACAGATTTTTAGTGTCAGGTGCTTTTGGGGTCTTATTCAAAAAAATCCTTGCCAATTCCAATGTCTTGAAGCATTTCATTTATGTTTTCTTCCAGTAGTTTCATGTCTTGCATTTTAAGTCTTTAATCCATTCTGAGAGTTTTTTTAAAAAGTGTCTTATAATATTCCCTATATTAATGCAGATCTAGTAATGTCCCATAATATAATAATAAAATTTTCTACCCCTTCAACATTTAGATATTACTTCCAAATTTTTTTAAAGAATCCCAGAAACATATGGTTTGCTTTTCCTACTCTTCCTGTACGTCCCATGTATTTATCCTGCCAAGGCACTAATTTTATTTCCAGATACCCAGAATTTCATCCCAACTTACCCCTGAAGCATGTTGGCAGTGGAGGATTCCACTTGCTGTTTAGTTGGCACCACACCATGTTGTTGCCTTTCATGGTAAAGCCAGGTTTACACTTAAACATCACTGTATCATTTAAGAAAAACGAACGTTTAAATCCGGATTCCACAATTCCATTTTCAATTTCTGGAAATGGGCATTTGACTTGAGGAATACATTGAGGGGGTGGGCTGCTCCAGACACCAACTTGATTGTCTTGACTGGTGCAATATATTGACTTCTCACCCACGAGGTCAAACAGCTTTTCCCCACGTGGTCCAACATTGCAATGATAAGTTACCACGATGCCATAGTAAAAGGTATCTTCACTGGTCCTATAGAAGTCCCCATTGGAGATGGTTGGGGGTGACTCACAAGGAATAGCTTTTAAGGAGGTAGGTCAGAAAAGAGAGAAGGCATTTAGATGTTATACTTCCTAAGAATTTTGTTTTCATTCTTATAAACCAAACTTCAACTCAGCCTACCATTTATCCCTTTTGTTGCAATTCTGTGTCCTGATCTTAAAGATGATTCTAAATAGGAAGTAGCCAGGCAGGAAGATACATGGAACAGGTTGATGAAAACTCAAAAAGCTATGAGTTTGTCCCTAGTCCCTACTTCAGAGTACAGATAAACTGTTACAGAAGGCACTCAGGATGACCTACTTTTGCATGGAATAAAGTTGGTCAATGTGTAATCTTATGATATATTTTATATCTAAGAAGTCATTCACTATAAAATAACATTACCAAAAGATAGTAATCAAAGGAAAGTGTGTTGGGAGTAAAAGCCACAGAGGAGGATAGATCACGCTCTGTGCTCAGAACTACCTAAACCAAGTGTAACCCTCCTGAGTACTCATTTTGATGTGGATCTGCACAGTTTCCCCCTAAAAGAGGATAGAGAAATTATATAGGATGCCATAAAGAGATTGTTGTACTCACATTCACAAAAAGGCATGTCCTTATCCCAGATTACAGTATTGTCCAAGACAATACATGTAGCAGATGAGCCACCAATGAGTCGATATCTAAAGACAAGAGATGAGTGATCATCTCCCAGCTACCATTATATTTTAGAAAACTAGTTCTTTCTTTACTGAAAGAATGTAAAAAAAGGAAAAAAAGAATATCATGTATGACAGGGAGTGGCAGTACACTAAGGATTTATAAAAAATTCAAGAATCTAAAACCAGATTAAATTGGACCTTCAAGTCTATAGGATTGGAGATTTAAGGTTAAAAACAGTGTAGCCCCAATCTCTTTCTGTCTAGGGATGCTCTATTGGGTGATCCTGAAGACCTGTCTCTGGAGCAGGTCAAGATGACTCCTTTTTGCTTATGAACTTTAAAGGGGAGATCACAATGACTCTGGTCTATTTTGGAAGACTGATGGATTCTGGTTTGAACTACTAGTATCCATGTATCCTGCCAACTCACCCTTTATTACAAGAATATGTGATTGTTGACCCAAACTTGATACCCTCAGGGATAAGCACAGAGCCATGGAGGAGTTCTCTAGGACTCATACATGATTTACCTACAAGGGAAAACAAAATAAAAAAAAAAAAAAACAGGACTTGGGGTTGGGATTCAGAAGACAGGTTGTGTTCTATATTAAATCCCAACCTGACTGAATCTGCTGATGAGCCTACTTATATTTATTTTAAAAAATTGACATTGACAAGGGGCTGGGGTTGTGGCTCAGCGGTAGAGCTCTCACCTAGCAGGTGCAAGGCACTGGGTTCAATCCTCAGCACCACATAAAAGTAAATAAATAAAATAAAAGTATTGTGTCCAACTACAACTTAAAAAAATAGACATGGGCAAAATGTGTTAACTCTCAAAGGATCAGTCCATTCTGGAGCACTATTTGTTTAACATAGATGATCTCTATTTATGAGCATGGATGCAAACTTTGTGGTCAATTATAACTTATAATCTTCAATTCCCCTTTTGAATGGCATCAAAATGCACCAGTTGATGGCATCATCTGCCTAATCTAGATTAAGAAACCCTCAGGGTCATCATTTCCTTTCTGTAATTCACCCTTTACTCCTTGATCTTTGTTCAATTAGTCAATAAATTTTAGCCGCTGGGTTGCAGAAATTTCTCTCCAAATTGACTATTTTGATCCTGTTGAAGTCTCTCATTGCATTATTGAGTTTCTAACTCTGGTCTCCCTTGGTCTCATATATCATCATATCACTGCATAATTCTCTAAAGTACAATTATGGCCAGGCCACTCCACACATTTAAAAACTTGCAATGGCTTAACATTTTATAGAAAAAAATGCATGAACTTTTATAGTTAAACACCAATCTACTTAACCAACTACATTCTTTACCGGGTACCCTATTCTCCATTCTCACTGATTTTTTTTTCTTCTAAATGTATGTTCTTCCATATTTCTATGCTTCTGTGGTAACACAGTCAATCAGTGAGCTACATCCCTAGCCCTTTTTATTTTTTATTTGAGACAGGATCTTGCTAAGTTGCTTAGGGCCTCAATAAGTTGCTGAGGTTGGCTTTGAACTTGAGATTCTCCTGCCTCAGCCTCCCAAGCCACTGGGATTACAGTCATGCACCACCATGCTCAACTATGCTTCTGCATATGATAAAACATCCTTAGTCCAAAAGTCCTGGATTTCTCTATTTCCTGCAGATATCAGTTACTATTTATTTCTCTATAATATAGTACTTTACCTCTATAAATAAATGATACAGTACAATATATGTTTAAGAATCAGTCTTTACAACTAATGTAGGAATTCCTTAAAGGCAGAAGCTATTGAATTAATTTTTTTATCTCTTCCAAACCCCACGGTCTAGTGTAGTTCTTCATATCTATTAGTTATTCAATTTCTCGAATTGAATGTGCTAAGAAGGGTGAAACTAACATTCCTTGCATACTAACTTTTAACGTCACTCTAATACAGTATAGAGATTATAGAACCTAGTCATGGAGAAAATAGGATTAATAGGCTTTGCCTGCAGTGGTGACTTAACCCCCACAATCAATACCCCTAAGGAAAAAAAGGAAACATGGAGATTCTAGGAGTACTCTTCACTGCATGACATACTAATTTACTGGTCTTTTGTCTGGAAAATAACAGGCTATTCCATACAGATGTTATGATAAACCCAAAGATTCCTCCATGACAGGATTACTCACGTTTACAGAACTGCTGAGCATCTGACCACTTGGAGGTCTCTAAGCAGGTGATAAAGAATGACTTCTTGGTATACCCAGGGAGACATCTGTATTCCCAAGATGTCCCAACAGCAAACTCAGACTGATCACTCTGAACATGAGGCTTAGCAAAATGATACCTTGGCAGGAACTTACACTGACCTAAAGACAGAGACCACAGGAATATCAAAACTAAGGGAGGCTGAACTTCTCTGCTTCTATCTTTTGCCCATTATCCTAACAACTTTGATCTCCATAAAGTAAGCTAAAACTGATGCAATATTGTCTAGAACAAAGAACACATAGCATTGTACTAGGCATGAATATACGGAGAAATAAGCTCAGAGGTTCAAAGAAATTTTAGGATAGATTTCAGAGGAAGAACTAGAGAAAAGAATTTTTTCATAAAAATCCAGATACACCCTGAGGCTGTTCCATCTTCTTACATCCTTATAAATAAAAAACAGTGGGTTTTGTTGTTGTTTTTTTATTTGTTTCATGGTGAGGTTAGAGCCTGGGGAAAACAGGATACAGATGTTTTGAGTTTTTTGCAAAGGGAGAGGTTGCTAATATTTTCCCAGCTTCATTGAGGTATAATTGATAGAAAAAAAACCCTGGACATAATTAACGTATACCCTTTGGTAAGTTTGGAACATACACACACACATGCACACACACACACACGCACACACACACACCCCAAAACAAACAAACAAAAAACACAGCCCTAGTTTTTCTAAGTAAAAACTAAAACCTTATAAGTAAAAAACAATCTTACAAATAAAACATTGGGGAGTAGCATAGGAAACTAAAGAACATCAGAGATTTTGTAAAGGCACATGTATGATCCTTTAAAATTACTTTAAAGATGTAAATAGGGGCTAAGGCTGTGGCTCAGCAGTAGAGCGCTTGCCTAGCACGTGTGAGGTGCTGGGTTCGATCCTCAGCACCACATAAAAATAAATAAATAAAATTAAGGCATTATTAATTATTTAGTCCAACTACAACTAAAAAAAGTGTAAATAATTATTTAAATCATTAAACCTTTTGGGTCTAGAGAAAAAAATGTGTTTATTATTCTTCATTATTTTATTTTATCAATCTGATAAGAGTAATATAACCCTCCAGAGTGCTTAATAAATACTTTTTGTTGGGTACTAAATAAAAGGAAGTAGTTGGGGCTGGAGTTGTGGCTCAATGGTAGAGCACTTGTCTAGCATGTGTAAGGCACTGGGTTTGATTCTCAGCAATACATATAAAGAAATAAACAAAATAATGGTCCATCTATATCTAAAAATATATTTAAAAAAAAAAAAGAAAAAGAAGTAGTCATTAAGATTTTTTCCCCCATGATTTAAAATAATGGTGATGGTGGTGGTGGTGATGATGATAATGAGATATATGCTGTCATAGGAGATGAATAAAAAAACATAACAACCATACACTTGAGGATATCCTTAGAAAAGTCTTTTTCCTACATATGAGAAAGAGCTCAAGTTTCAACTCCCAAAATTTATATGCAGAGAACAAGAAGTTAATGCTTATTTCAGATCAGATGGTAATTCAGGCAAAAAGTGCCCAGCTCTGAGGCCCTCCCAGAAAAGAAATGTATTTGAACATCAACTTTATAAATATTTTTTCAAACAATTCTGAGACAGTTCAGGTGAAAGTCAAAAGATAAATATGGTTAACCCACAGGCGTTCACAGAGCTCCCAGAGTTGCAGCCAGACCCACTCTTTCTGTGGCTCCATATTTTTATTAGAGGATCTAAGAATGGCCATCACTACTGGGACCCAGATATCACTGTAGGTCCCCTTCTATTTATTTTCTCAACTCCTTCAGTTTCTTCCATCAATACCTACAAATGCTCTCAGATGCATACTTTGTAAAACAGCAAGAATTATAGGGAAAATGAGGGTTTGAGCTCATGAAGACACACTTCATGACTTGACACTATTCATACCTGTGATTCTAATCAAGAGGTTTAACCTCTAGTTACCAGATGCATGTAAGGATAATACCAAATTATTTTTCACAGGCTGAAAAATCAATTTAAACCCACAAGATTTCATCAACAGCAATGATACAGACTAAGAGTGAACTTGAAATTTCAAAAATAAAGGGTGCTCTATAAAGCATACTGTAGTATGACTTTCTACTAGGAAAGGAGACAAGAATCACATTTTCTGGATGAAGACTAATGGAAAAGTCTCATCCTTAATAAGGAGACTTGGAAACTCTCTCTGGGCACATTGATTCTCTTTAATAATGAAATTGCCAAAATCCCAGGTCATAAGACAGAACTTCCAGAAACCAGTGTCTTTTCAATCAGGAAAGGAAAGGTTGGTCCATGAACCATTAAGTAATATGAATGTTCTTGAGGGTTGCTGTACCCTCTTTACAATTGGGAGTGAAGATTAGAGTACATAGTGACTGCATCTAAAAGAAGAAACAGTGACAAGACATTCGCACACACACTATCCCCAAATCATGTTAAAAACTAGGCAAAGCACAATCACACACACACAAAAAAAAATTTTTAATGTTTTCTCTGATAAGCAGATGCTGATCCATAGTGGGGCCAGTGGATTGGGAAGAATGAAGCAACTTTGGTTTGTGTAGAGGAGAGTCAGGGGAGGGATGGGGTTGTGGGAATGGGAAGGACGGTAGAAAGAGACAGACATGATTACCCTATATACATGTATGATTACACTAGTGGAGTGACTCTGAACCATGTACAGCCAGAGGAATGAGAAGTTGTACTCCATTTATGAATTACATGTCAACATGCATTTTACTGTAAAATTAATTAATTTTAAAAAACTAGGCAAAGTGGTTTCTGGAGAAGAGGCATACATTTAACTTAGAAATCCATTTGGAAAAAATGAAGGATATGTATGTAGGATAACAAAATTATCTGAAAGATTAGTCAGAAATCAGGTAGGAAGGGAAACTATCATTGAGAATGAAAATTATGATCAAATACAGTAATACTGGGTTTTCCTGGCATTTGATGAGTATTTTTTGAATGACCGTTATGCATATTAACTAAGGTATGCTCCCAAGTAAAGGAAATTCATCAGTGAACTTGAGATGATGTTCCCACTCTCATAGAATTTATATTCCAATAGAAGGAAACAGATCATAAATAAATACCAGAAAATAAATAAGATGATGCTGTGAAGAAATAGAGTAACATATTGAAATGTAATGCACCTGAAGCAGAAAGGGTCAGGGTGGCATATAACATCTGTTGCATGTTGGTAAAGGGAGGACTGCAAAGAGGAGAGACTCTGAGTTGTGGCTGAAGGATCAGAAGAAGCCAGCCAACCAAAGCACTGGGTAGAAGCATTTCCAGCAGAGGCCTAATATTAGGAATGATTTTGTATGCTACAGGACTCCACAGAAGGCAAATGTGGCTGGAATGTAGTATCAAAGCAGGGTAGTACAGGTAAGTTAGTGAGGTCAGCAGGAGTGACCTCATATGGCTTTTCGGGCCGCAGGCAGATGTTTAAATGTTATCCTGAATAGAAGTCATTGGCAAGATCATGCAGAAGAGTTGCATGACCTCATTTACTCTTTTAAAAGAATATACTGGCAATTGAGCGGAAAATTGATTGATTTTTAGAAGCAGGGCAAAAAATGAGGCTTGGTCTAAAGAGAGAGAGAATGAGAAGTGCATGGATTTGAAATATATTTTAGAAGTAAAATTAGCAAAGACTTGCTGTTGGATTAGATGAGGAACTAAGGAAATGGGGGATTCAGTAATGACTTCCAGGCTTTTGGCTTGAGCTACCTGATGGATGGAATTACCATGCACTTAGATAGGAAAGCCTAGAAAAGGAGCAGATCGTGTGTGTGTGAGTGTGTGTACACACAAGTGTGCAAGCCCGCATGTGCATGAGCATGCTGTGGGGTGCATGTATGTGCAGAATCAGTTCCATTTCAGCTGCGGCATATTTAACACAGCAGGCATCCAAATGAAGATACCAAGTAAGCAGCTGGATGTAGAAATTTGCAACTGAAGTCAGGAATACAGATAATAAACATCAGTTATCAATTTATAAAGAGTTTTAAGGCAATGAGTCTAGATGAGATCTCTCAGGAAAAAGATAGAGAAAAAGACAGACAAGGCCCCCAAACCCTCGAATATTTAGAGATAGGGCCAAGGAGACTGAAAGTAAACAGACAGTTATGGAAAAAACAGAGCAGAATCTTGTTTTGGAAGATGAGAATAAAACTGTTTCAAGAAGGAGGAAGTAGTAAGTTTTTGCTGAAAGACTGAGAAAGATAGCATAGAAAATGACCTTTGGTTTTGTCAGCATGAAGGTTAGTAGTGACCTTGCCAAAAGTAGCTTGAGGAGAGAGATGGGGTGGGTGAAGGTGCTCAAGAGGAACGAGCAAGTGGCCAAGGAGAAATCTGCTGAGAAGGATGAGAAATTTGCAGAGAATTGGAGTTCCACTGAGTGATGAGAAGCCCCTCCCACCCACAAAGGAGGTCTCAAGAGTGGAACAAATGGAAGATGCAAGAGAGGACAGCTTGGAAAGGTAAGAGGGAATGGAATGTGACCGTGAACACGGGAAGAGAAGTCAACTTCTTCAGGGGAAAGAATATTTCCATTGTCATAGGTGTGTGAACCCCTAGTCATGTGCTGTGATAGAAATTATGTCAGGTAATAGGAAGAATAAAGACCGTGCTGTCGTGGAACTTGTTTCCAGTGAGGGAAGAAGCAATGAACAGATAAATAAACAAGAAACTTTCAGAAGGTGACTGGTGATCTGTAGAAAAGAAGACAGGGTTATGGATGAGAGAGTAGCCTGGGTTACTTCTGATGAGAGTCGGACGACAAGGAGAGTGAACTGAGACTTGACTGTGGAGAAGATCTGGCAAGGTAGGATGAACGTTGCAGCAGAGAACACCTGTGCAAAGGCTTGACAAAGTGCCTGTGACCAAGGGACAGGGAGGGGGAAGGTAGTGTGGCTGGAGCAGAGAGAGTGAGGGGGAAATGGAGAATTTCCAAGAGGAGCTGATGCCTTCTAGTCAAGGACAAGGGGCAGGGATTTTATTCTGGATGACAGGAAGCCTTAATCAGAGGAGAGCAGAATCATCCCCAATGGGGGTAGCTATGTACATCAGCTGCTGGGGAAAAGAGGGACTCCCTATTTCACAACTTTGTTTTCTTAGCACAGAATGAGCTCAGGTTGCCAGTGGGTGAAGGCCTGAGTGAAGTCTAAGAGTGCAAGAAATTTGATCCATTTATGTGAAGGATCAAAAGGAAAAGGTGAGAAAACATCTTAAGAGGAAAATTTGCTTTCTATTGACTTAAAGCAGTGTGCCATATAGACCTCTGCTTCAGAATCTTCCAAACTGCTTGTTAAGCCTCAGCTTTCTGGATCATACATACTCTAAACCCATGAGGGAGAAGGGGGCCTGCAGAGTGGGAGGTGGCATCTGTTGGGTGCAGAGCAGGCTGAACTGTGTTGTCTGCAGGGCAGACTGAACAGATGTTGGCTGCAAGATAGCCCACGCACTCAAACCCGCCTCTATCTGGTCTTTTATCACCTGTTTGCCTCAAGTCTGAACATTCAACCCTGCTCAAGGCTGAACACTTAACCCCCCCTTGGGCCAACAAGGCAGCTTGCAGACCCAGAGGCCCCATTAGATTTGGGCTATAAAAACTCCCTCCTGCCAGGCCCCCCTCTCTCTTGCTATCTCTCTTGCTTTCTCTGTCTCTCTCCTGTGTGCGCTTCCTCTCTCTCTCTCTCGCTCTCTCTCTCTTTCCTTCTTTCTTTTCTGTTTGTTGCACTGCTGCAATAAAGATCTTTTGGTTGCTCTGAGTGTTGTGGTCACTTTCCTTTCAGCATCTACATATTAAAAAGGTACGTCAAGACTTTCTTTTTAAAATTGATTTTTATTGTTGCATTATAATTATAAAGGGTTTCTTAAGGACACATAAGTGAAGGAAACTGGTCAAGAGCCAAGAAATGATCTAAGGAGAATGCACAGTAGTAGTAAAAGTCAGAAGGGGGAGTGGCCAACCCATGAGCAGTGGGATGACAGGTGGACAAGAGGATGAGCAGAGCAGCACAGGGAGCAAGGAGGTGAATCCAATCAGAAAGAGCTTGACTGGCTGAGTAGCTTTTTCCTCCACAGGTAGTGGGAATCCATTTAGACTTTTGAGCAAGGGAGTGGAATAATGAAAACATTATATATGTATATTATATGTATGCATGAATATATATATATATACACACATATATTTGGTTTTCATGATTTAAAAGGTTAAAGAGGCAGGAGGCAAAGTAATCTATAAGAGAGGAAGGCATTGGACAGGCAATTAGATGCTTAGGATTAGACTATTGGAATGAGAATGATAAAAAGACAAATTATAGGACTATGTGAGCTTTTAGAGTAAACAGAAAGGCAGATCTTGTTTTTTTCCATGTGTGTGGAGTTAAGGGACCCAGGCCATGATCCTGCTCTGGTACAGAATGTGTACCTGTAGGGAATAGTGAGTTAACTAGGCTGGTGACGAATTTATTTTTCAATTGTTAAAATCTTCTCTGAAATTTTAGAAACTGTAATGGAGTGCTGGTAAGAAGTAAGGTTGGGTGCTGTACCATATGCAGGTGTCAGAGAAAGTTGTGGATGTGCATTTGTTCAAAGGATTTACTAGGTAGAAAAGGAAAGAGGGATAAAGGCAATGAAATATTCAAAGAAAATAATCCAAGGAATATTCAACTAAGGACCAGGAGACAGTTCAATGTCCAAAAAGCAAATAGATGTAATGGAACTAATAAATTCAATAGCTCAAACTCCTTAAACTGGGAGTGGCCATTTAAGCGCTGGCTCCTTGAAAACAGATCCAGGCAGCGCTTATTACTGACTTAGTAGTAACCACAGACATCTACCCTTCATTTGCTTATTTTCATCAGGAAACTCAGTGAGATGAAATGGTAGGGCAGCCTAATGCTGATTTCATCTCATATAGAAACTGAGGGTGGGGGAACACCAAATAACTTGCCAAAAGTCACCCAGTTATTGAAATCTTCATACAGTAAACGTCTTAAAAAAACTAAGAATTCATTGTCCATGGGAGATAATTACAAAGACTCACAGTAGCCAAGAGACTCTAATCAAAACACATTATAATACTTTAAAATCAAGCCAATCTGGGAGGGAAAAAAAGTTATGATATTGAATGAGACTTTCTTAAAGCTTACACTCTCACAGAAGGTCAAAAACACTGAAGAAAACTAAAGTTTTAATTCATGCCTCAACTTTTTGAAACGACTCGAGATGTTTACCAAAGTCATATCAAAGTTAGAAATATCTGAAACCACAGTCGGGAACCAGAGGTGTTTCTTATTTAGGTCAAGGGACCGAGGCTCTGCTACTGCTCCTGGGCAGGAGCATAGTTGTGTATACAGAAACACGTGCGCACAGCCTGAGTAGGTTTTAGGCGCTCGCAGACCTCCCGCCGGCGGAGAGCTAGAAGCACTACCTAGTCCCAGGGTAGGAAAGATCTCCTTTGCCACCAGCCACACCAGGTATATCCAATGGCGTCCCTCTGTGACTCAACCTCCAATTCTGGGTGTTCTGACTTCCCAGAAGAGGGACTGGGGACAATCAGGACCCCCCGGAGATTGGGGAGGAAGTTTCCCAAAGCCAGTGGGGCAGTCGTCTGTCACTGTCCCCGTCTTCCCGCTTTTGGCTCCATGCTTTGCATAGGGGCACTGAAGCCTTCTCTGTCCCAGACGCATCCCTACCTCCGCGCTCCCCCTCCCAGCTCACCGAGAACCCCTGGCGCGAAGAGAGCCAAGAAAACCCAGAGCGAGCCCGTGGCGCCCATGCCACGGCGGCAGCCCCAGCGACGGGATGCGTTCCGGGACCCGCGAGCCTCTGGCAGCTGCGGGAGGGCAGGGCTGGGCAGCAGACAGCTGTGAGCACTGGGAGGCGGGTCCTTATATAGTGTCTGGCACCTCGTGCGAGGTTTGCACGCTCACCTGCAGGTGGCCCGGGGGCGGAAGGCAGCGCATGAGGGTGGGGTGAAAGAGGCGCGGAGGGGTGGCCCTGGCTGGAGGTGGGCGGGCGCAAGAGGACTGAGCTCAGAATCTCCCCTCAGTGCAACTTTTTGCAACTCAGCACATTATTTTCTCTTTCTAGAACTGAAACATTTCGCAAAATAGTACTCAAACTAAAATGTTCAAAGTTCGGATGTTATGCTGGTCTATCCTATTATTTTATTATTATTATTATTAAATTCTGGTTGGACTCACTAAGTTCATTTAAAATTACTGAATTCAGCCCTCAGTTTGAAAACCAACCAACCAACCAACAGCAACAACAAACCAGTTTGAGTTTACTTAGGCAATTTAGGAACGGCTGCCACCTCTGCTATTAAGTTCTTTTTACTATGAAGTTATTTCTACAGAAAAGTTTCACAAATAGTTCAAAGAATCCTTATGTAGCATTTAGTCAGATCCTTTGTTAACGTTTTACTATATTTTGTATACCATTCTCTCTGTAAAGATGTGTAGACCGCATATGTATGATTATATACTTACATAGTTATTACTTTGGAATCTATTGAGTAAAATTTACAGTCATTTATATCCCTCCTCTAAATACATCAATGTGTATTTCCTAAAACTAAGTACTCTCCCCCCTTATCTATAGTAGTGATCAACAACAAGAAATTAACATTGACACAGTCTATTCTATAATCTACTGATTGCATTCAAATTCTGACAACCATCTCAATTATCTTTGTTATAGCAAAACGTCAGTAAAACAAAAACTTTTTTTTTTCCTGGTCCAGTATCATTGCAGGATCATAGCTTGCATTTGATCATCATGATTTTCTTCCACCTTTTTATCCTTAAGAGTCTTCAGTCTAACCAGGAACCGGGGGTTGCATGCCTATAAGTAATCTCAGTGACTCGGGAGACTGAGGCAGGAGAATGGAGAGTTTAAAGCCAGCCTCACCAAAAGTGAGGTGCTAGGCAACTCAGTGAGACCCTGTCTTTAAATAAAATACAAAATAGGGCTGGGGATGTGGCTCAGTGGTTGAGTGCCCCTGAGTTCAATCCCTGGTACTGCCCCCTAACCCTCAATAAAAAAGAGTCCTCAGTCTATTTCTCTTTCATGATCTTGACATCTTTGAAGAGTATATAGTATTTTTGTAGAATGGAATTTTAAATTAGATGTCTAATGTATAGTAACAAATTACTCTAAATTTAGTGGCTTAAAGCCAGATGAAACACTTGCTATCTTCCAGTTTCTGTGGTCAGGAATTTGAGAGCAGCTTAGTTAGGCTTGGAGTCTCTTGAGGTTGCAGTCATCAACTGGAACAACAGCCATCTGAAGGGCTGGCTGAGACAGGATGACCCACATGGAATATGACTCACAGGGCCCTTGGCTGGAGGCCTCATTTCTTCACCATATGGACCTTGCTGTTGGATTGCACAAGTGCTGAGTGTTCTAAAGACATGGCAGCTAGTTCCTCCTAGATCAAGAAAGGCAGAAGCCACAGTTTCTTTTATGACCTATCCTCAAAAGTCACAGAATATCCTAATGATTATACAGATCAGCCCTATTTAGTGTGGGAGGACACTATAATAGGAGGCTGGATCATTGGGTACCATCCTGGATGCTGGTTGCATTCCTCAGTTTGTGTTTGTATCTCATTTCTTCATAATTGGATAATGCATATTTAGCCTGAATACCAGAGAAGGGATGCTGTGCCCTCATCAGGAGGCACATGTTATCTATTGGTCCTGTTACTAGTGGTAGTAACTTTGATCACTTAGTTAGGGTGGTATCTGCCACATTTCTCCTGTGTCAAGGTCCTGTTTGTCCCTTTGCAACTAATAAGTATTTTTAGGATTGTACTTTAAACTATACTTCATTTTTTCACCAACTTAAAATCCATTAATGATTCTTTCCTGAATCATGGTCACCAACTGGTATTTCTAAATCAGGCTTTACTTCTATATTCATTAGTTGGCATTATATTGAAAATAAAAGCTTTCTCTTCCTTGTATATTTATTAATTTACATATATATGTATATCACTATGGACAGTGTCAATAGGAATGTTATCTATTTATTCAATTGATCATAATCTATTGCTACCACTATTTTTTAAGTATTTGTTTTTCAGTTGTAGGACACAATAACCTTTATTTTATTTTTATGTGATGTTGAGGATAGAACCCAGTGCTTCATGCATGCTAGGCATGCACTCTACCGCTGAGCCACAACCGCAGCCCCACTACCACTATTTTGATGTTCAATTTGTCCCTAATTTAGCCAGTAGGAACCATCAGAGTAGTCCTTGTGTCATTTTTACCTGTTCTTATGATTATTCTATTACTTTATTATTTTTTGGAAAAACAAGATGCCCCAGATTCATCTTGTATCTTTCCAGATCTGGTACTGACACTTGCCATTTCCCTGAGGAAGGATAGTCCTTTTGGGTAGAGAATATATTCCATTTTAGTTTTTAACTTGTCTTTTTGAATTTTTTACATAGGAGAAACATTAAGATGGTTCCAAATGTCTGAATTTTATATAAAGATGTAATCAGAGAAGTATTACTTCTCCCGTTATGTCTATTCCCACTCACTCACTATAGGTATTTTTTAAAAATAGTTTGTTATTTATCTGTCTTTATTTTTACCCAAATAAGCACTTACACATCTCCCTTATTATTTCTCTTTTATGGCATAAAAAAACCATGCTATAAATAATCTTTCCACTTTGCTTTTTTTATCTGATAAACGTGCTTGAATCCATTTCACATATATCTTTTTTATTGTACGGTTATACCACAAGTTTATTCAAACATTTCCCTAGTATAGACAGGTACTTTCTAATGCCTTAAAGAATAACCTTGTGCATATTTATTTATTTATTTTTTTAATTGGTTATTCAAAACATTACAAAGCTCTTGACATATCATATTTCATACATTTGATTCAAGTGGGTTTTGAACTCCCAATTTTACCCCAAATACAGATTGCAGAATCACGTTGGTTACACATCTACATTTTTACATAATGCCCTATTAGTAACTGTTGTATTCTGCTACCTTTCATATCCTCTACTATCTCCCCTCCCCTCCCCTCCCCTCTTCTCTCTCTACCCCATCTACCGTAATTCATTTCTCTCCTTGTTTATTTTCCCATTCCCCTCACAACCTCTTATATGTAATTTTGTATAACAATGAGGATCTCCCTCCATTACCATGCAATTTCCCTTTTCTCTCCCTTTCCCTCCCACCTCATGTATCTGTTTAATGTTAATCTTTTCTTCCTGCTCTTCCTCCCTGCTTTGTTCTTAGTTGCTCTCATTATATCAAAGAAGACATTTGGTATTTGTTTTTTAGGGATTGGCTAGCTTCACTAAGCATAATCTGCTCTAGTGCCATCCATTTCCCTGCAAATTCCATGATTTTGTCATTTTTTAGTGCTGTATGCATATTTATTTTTTTATTGGTGAGAGTCTATATCCAGCTCAAATTCCTAAAAATGAGATTACTTGGTCAAATGGTAAATGTATATGTAGTTGTTATGGTTTGAATGAGGTGTGCTCCTCTCACTAAAGCTCATGTAACAATGCAGTAATATTCAGAGGTGAAATATTAGATTATGAGATCTGTACTCTAATCAGTGGATAAATCTTGATGGATTCATAATTTGAAGGAATTACTGTATTAGGTGGGGCTATAGGCTGTGGGGCCTGACTAGTGGAGGTGGGAATGCCCTTGGGGATTATGTCTTGTTCCCCTGGCTTCTCTTTTTCTCTCTCTGCTTCCCAACCCCCATGAACTAAAGAGAATAGCTTTCCTTCATTATGCCCTTCTGTCATGATGCTTGGCTTTACCAAGACCCAGAGCAATGGAACTGGCCGACCGTGGATTTAACCTCTGAAACCATGAGCCCAAAAGAATCTTTTCCTCTTCTAAGGTTTTTTTCTTTTTAGACAATGTTAAATTCCATTAATAAAGAATGAATGAGCATGCCTGTTTCCCCAGTCTCACTAATCTAATGTGTAGATTAATTTTAACAAATCTAATAAGTGAGAGGTTGTATCTCAGTGTAGTTAAATCAGCATTTCTCTTATTGTGTATGAGCAAGCTTGAACGTGCCTTCATGGGTTGAATAGCTGATTTTATTTTTATTATTTTCTGGATTCTCTGTTCATAATTTGCTTCATTTTTCTGTCATTTATAAGACACGTTTAAAGAATTCTTTGTGTATGTTAGGATTATTAGTCTTTTATCTGTGATGTATTTTGAAGGTATTTTCTCCCACTTTGTCAGTTGTCTTTTGGCTTTATTTATGACATTATTTTGCTTCATGAAGATTTTTTATTTTTCTATAGTCAAGTTGATCAATCTATTCTTTTATTGCACCTGGATTAAGAGCATAATTAGGAAGGTTTTATCTATACCTAGATTAGATAATAATTTATCCATGTTTTTTTTTCTTGTACTTCTGTTGTTTCATTTATTTTACAGTTAGATTTATGACACATTTGTTGTTTATTCTTGTGCTTCTTCCTGGATTTCCCAAATATATTCTTTTGCAAATCAACACTTCTCACTTACACCAAGACTCAAATCCTCTGTAGTTAAGTGTGCTGAATGTTTACTATCTTACTGTAATCTCATTTAAACCTTTATCAGAAAAACAAATTCACTCTTGTCTACCCTGAGCCCTGCAATAATTTCCTATCTTATTCACAGTAAAAATCAATGTCTTGATACAGACTTGTTTAGTCCAGCATGATCTACTTTTCTTCAACTGCTTTGAGTTCATCTTGTATTTCTTTCCCCTCCTCTGGCCACATGGCTCCTGATGTCTTTGGCTCTCAGAGGGTTTGTTTGCTTTGCCCAGAAA